GTCCTGACTTCGCTGACCCCTCTGCCCCTCGCACCCGAGCTAAAGTGGATGGGGAGCTGGATCGCTTCCGCAGGCTTTTGGCTCCGACCAGGCCCTCCGAGCCGTGGCGCCGCCATAGCGACCTCCCATCGGAGGCTCCCGAGACGCCTGGCCCTGCCGATCAGGACTCGGAGGCGGAACAAGAGGCCGCGCATTTTTTTGGCACAGCCCCCATTTTTCCCTCCACTCTCCCTCCGCCGCCGCCCCCTCCCTTTCTAACTCTGGATCAGAAAAGGCGCATCCAGTGCAATCGGGACAGGGCCAGACAAATCAGGGCCGAGCGCGCCCGCCAAGCGGCGCGCCCCGTCCCGCTCACTGGCATTACCTTCTCTCACATGTGGCATCCTGCTTCCCCCGCCCCGCAGGACTTCAACGCCGACATCTTCGACATTTAGGCAGACGGCTCATGTCCAGAAGGCCGTGGGTGCTGGTGCCTCGAGAGGCCGGACCCAGGCACCCGCCACCGGGCCAATTTCGCTCCGCCTCAGCTCCCCCCCCCCTGCTCTCACCTGCCCAGTTCGCCCAGGTAGCCAAAGCAGTGCAGCGCCCCCTGTCCAGCACCCCCTCAGCCTCAGGTCCCCCGCGCCCACCTGGCGATTTCAACGGCCCCCCTGTGGGGCGCGGCAGGCACATCTATGGAGCCACCTTTCATCCTCCGCCACCTCCGCGCGCCATGCCCCCCTCGCCTCCCCCTGATCATCCCATAGTGAAGGCCAAAGCCGCCATTCCGGAAGGCTGGATCGGCCAGGCCGCCTCTCCTTTTTCTCCACCCCTTGCTGCGCGTCCCCCACCTCCACCTCCGCGCGAATCCCGCAAAGTTGCCGCCCCACACAGGCGCCAGCCGCGCAGGGCCTCCAGTTCGCCAGCGTTTCCTAGAAGGCTTGCGCAGGTAGACGACGCCTCATATTCCTCTGTCTCTTCCCCTTTCCCCCCGCAGGATTCTCCGGAGCCAGCTGAACAGCCAGCAGTGCCCCGCGCCTCTGCCACTCGCAAGCGCAAGCAGGTCTCCTTTACAGACGAATTCACGGCCAAAGCCCCTAGGGTGGCCTACAATTCGCGCCGAAGCACGGAGCCGCGCAAGAGTGCACTCAAGCAGCCTGCGCCACAGCGCCGTGGACCAGCCGAGGCTCAAAGCAGCCCGCAGGAATTCCACGGCACGGCCTCGCCTCCAGCCCCTCCTCCTCCAAGGCACCATAAGGCGCGCAAGTCTCACCGCGCTGCCCATGCTGCTCCGCGCCCGCACTCGCCTGCCGAAGCGCCAGACGCAGCATCGGACGAGCAGCGCAGTACAGTTCACAAGGCGCACGAGAATAGGATTGCCCAGCTCAAAGAGGAGCATAGGCAGGACCAGCTCCGTATCGACAGGATACACAGAGAGCGCCTCAAGCTTCAGTTAAGAGAAGGCGAAAGCCTATCGCATTGCGGTCAGCGCCTCTCGCCCAGGCGGCCGCGCAAGCCTCGTGAAGGAGGCGATGCCACCAGGAGTTAAAGTTACGCCATGCAGCTGTAATTCAGCCCAGGCCTACCTCTTCCCTTCTCTCCCTCTCGCAGCTTCCTTTCCTTCGCTTCTCCCCCCACAGGCCATGATGCGCGAGCTCAGCACCTTGGGCAACGCCGACGCAGACGAGGACATGCCCGCTGCTGAAGCGGCCCCGGGGAGGCACCTAGATTTGCTCCGCATTATGGGGCGGATGCCCCCAGACTTTCGCAACGCATGGCCCTTTTGGGAGTACTTGGCTGAGCGGCTTCTCCTGGCCCACCAGCAAGTCTACCGCTTTCTCAGCGGCGGCTCGAGGCGCCACGCTCCTTTACTGTCTCCTACCGCTGTGTACCAGCCTGCCTCGGTACCCCAATGGCAAGCTACATGGCAGCTCGAGAGCGGGCCGCCTGCTTTGCCACGCGCCCGCGCTACCGTAGGCCCCGAGCTCCACATGGACTGGCCGATGTCGCTAATCACACAATCGAGCGGTGGTACGGGCGTTGGTGCGAGGCCAACTCTCCCAACTTACTCCACATTTATCCTCATCGCGCAGCGGGTGAAGGCCCCTATGCTGCCCGTTTCTCACCCGCTATAAGTTTGGTCACTGTCTACGTGCCCGACCAGATTTTTCTGGACCTCCTCCACACGGGGGCCTGGGAACAGCCTGCTCTCATCCCTCAACGTCTTTTGGAGGATGCAGCGGCTGGCAGCCCCATCCTAATAGACCTCCAGGCCATGATCCTGGTGCGGCCATTTTGCCTTCCGTTGTCCTACCTCTCTCGAATCCTCCGCCCCCCTGAACCATAGCCCCTCAGGCCATGCCGACCCCAGATGCGCAGCACCTGCCGCAGTTCGAGCACGGCGACGTCCGCTGCGCCCCCACTGAGGCCGTGCCACCGCAGCCTACAGTCGTACAGTGGCTGGTAGTGATCACGGCAGGTCATATTCCGCTTTGGTCTCCACTGCCCATCAATGTAGGGCTCCTAATGGAGCAATTTCACTGGCAGGAGACCCGGCTGCCATCTTCAGTGGAGAGGCCGCGCTTTTTTCACCTCCCCATTCTGCAGGAGACCGATGCACGGTCCATTTTATTCGGCACGGGCATACCTTTTCGCACCGGCCTTTCGCTGCGGGTCAACATGCGCAGCGGAACCATCCTCATCCCTATCGACTCAGCACCGGGCCAAGCATGCATCAGTCGGCCCATCAGGAGGGCCCTCCTCGCCCAGGCGCACGCATAAGCCGGTTAGGTTTCACTCATATCTGGCCGTTGGCTTATGGGTTATTTCTTTTCGCTCCTTCCGCAATCCCCCTCCTCTCAGCGCGCGCAGCGCAGCCGCGATTCCTGCGGGCGGGCGCGCTTCGGCGGCTACCGAGGGGGCCACGCCCCCGCGGGGGGCCGCGGCCGAGCCCGGCAGGGCGCCGCCCAACGCGCTGGAGCTCTTCGGCCTATCAGGCGACACGCAGTCGGGCTCGGCATGGCAGGGCTCCCAGTACACGGCCGCCACCAGGGAGTTCAAAAAATTGTGGCCAGCTACGTACCCTGGCGAGTGGAAGATGCCTAACGGCATGCTCTACCCGTTCGTGTGGAAGCTCAAGTCGCTCGACGTCATCGACGGCCAGGTCGTCGAAACTTGGGACTGGGAATGGATAGAGGCTCCAGGCCTGGCGACCATCTCAGAGGTCGAGACCACGCTGCTAGAGGCCCGGGCGCGAGCGGCGGCGTCGGCGGCCGCGCGGCAGCCGCGCGGCGCATGAGCGGGCCCTAGAGCGTGCTGCCTCCCAGTCGGCGCCATCCCAGGTCGACAAGGGCGACCTCGGCGCAACTAATAGGTGGTGGGCTAGCCTTATACTCTAGTCTCTGTTCACCTCGGCAGCCCACCACCTAGACAGCCCTAGCCAGCCACACGAGCCGAATGTTTACAGCTGGAGAGCCGTGCTGCTCCAATTTAAGATCGGCTGAGCCGACCTGCACTCCCGTCGCAGCGGGCCCATCAGTTCTTTCATTCAGCCCCATGCCAAGGGGCCGCTGCAAAGTCGTAGTCAGCACCAGTCTCCAGCTTCACACCTCTCTGCCGCACTAGTGCAGCCAACGCGACACTTTTAAGTAGCCCCGCTACCAGAAGAGCGGACGGCTAATGCTCACAGCTCAATTCGCAGACTCGCCACGGCTGAGTCTTCATAGGTGGTGGGCCAGCCTAATACCCTAGTCTCTGCTTACATCGGCAGCCCACCACCTAGATAGCCCTAGCCAGCCACACGAGCCGTATTTCACCAGCTGAGGAGCTATGCTGCTCCAATTTAAGGTCGGCCGAGCCGTCCTGCAGTCTCGTCGCAGCGGGCCCTTCAGTTCTTTTCTTTAGCCCCATCCCGAGGGCCAACTGCAAGAGCTGTAGCCAGCACCAGTCTCTAGCTTCACACATTCTTGCCGCAACATTGCGGCCAGGCCAAAGCGACACTTTTAAGCAGCCACGCTACCAGAAGAGCGGTCGGCTCAATGCTCACAGCGCAATTCGCAGACTCGCCACGGCTGAGTCGATACTGCGGCAGGCAAAGATGCCGCCGCAGCACATCCCACCCGCCGAGTAACTCTCGGCTAATGCTGCCCATCAGAGGTGCGTACCTCTACGGACAGCTACCGCGCCCTAGTGTTGCTTGGCTGGGCAAGATAATCCCTCTCCCTCCCATATGTTCATCCCTCCCCTCTTACCACGTTTACACCAAGACGCCAAGCACAGCACAGGCGCTCTCTCACCTGCCCCCTTTCCGGTCACGTGCGTTACCGATGGGGCTTCCTAGTCTCCTGGCGGCAACGCCAGCCTCTCCCTCCTGGTCCGCTCCGCCACGGCCGCCCTACAGCGCGGCAGTGCCATTTTGGCCCTTTTCCTACTCTTCCCGCTTATTTCCATGGCTAAGCCATGCTCCCAGGTGGCCGTTCCTGAGGCCAGCTTCGCTGCTCTTCGGTCGATCAGCGCTGCCCGCATAGGGCAACGCCTAGATGGCGCGCTCAGTGATTCTCGCACGGCACCGATCCCTTCTCTTCATATTATTCCCCCTCCCTCCCCCTCGGTGCCAATACCTCCCCCGCCCATCATGCAGGTCCAATGGCGAAGAATCGCTTTTGCCTGCGGACGGACCAGGAGCGGAGATCCTTTGTTGTGCCCGCTAGGCGGGCTCTGTCTGCCGCCTGGCCGACCTCGGCCGCCCAGCTCAAGCTACTTGCAACGAGCCAAGTGCAGTCAAAGCCTTCCCTCCTCCCTCCCTCCCTCCACCCTCCTCCGCATACTTCCGTTCCTCCGCCTCATCCGTCCTTCCTCGTCCCCTCCTACCCTCCACACTTGCCTCCTGCTTCTCTTGATTCTACTCCTTCCCACTCCCTGTCTTTTCTTCCTCTTCCTGCTCATCCCCGTTCTCCTCCTCGACCTCCCTTCTGCGACACCTCCAGCCCCCCTTCACCCGCGACGAACCGATCGAGGGAAGATCACGCGGCGGCCACGCTCTTGATCTGCGCGGGCTGCGCGAACACGCCGCTGCCTCCGGATCGAATCTGCTAATATTCGTGCCCCCCCTTCTTCCTCCTTCCCGGCTCCTTATGACTAACTCCCTCCTGTCGCTCCTCCAGGACGTGACGGTAGAGCAGGCGGGGCGTTTCGCCTGAAACGCCCTCACCACTGATGATCATGAAGCTTGACATTCGTAACAGCTTTACCGATGGAGGGCGGGTCGATTTTGAGATGTGGCTCTCGCTTCAGCGCCGCGCTAATCCGTTTTAACAATACACAACAAATTGGCTGAGAAATGGAACATTCGAAATGATGCCCTCGCCTTTGCGCCGTGTTAGAAAAAGGATGCCCTCGCCGTAGCGCCGCGCTAATTCGTTTTGAAAGTTTGCAGCAGCTGAAAGATGGAGGACGGGCCCTTTGCAAATGCATCGAGCCCTAACGCCTTGCCCGTTCGTCTGGACAATTTGCGGTTAAAGCTCGCGTTCAAAATGCGACTGTCACCTCAGCGCCGTGGGTACTCGTCTTGAACATTTGCACACGTTTCCAAGATTCGTGTGGTTGAAGTACCGGGAATGGTGTTCTGAAACGATCTCGGGACGTCAGGAAACAACCATCACGATGATTCGCAGTGTCGGAGTCCCAGGAACGGTCATATGGCACGATTGGAGATTCTCAGACAGTTGTCTTCGAATGCTCCACTTTCTCCAAGGAAGATGAGTTCTGGAAGGGGCTGGGAAGAGGTAGCTTAGAGGGAAGGGCTGCATGTTGATGCATCCTGGGTTTGCACACGTCCCCCTCCTGCTCCTCTTCCTCATCTTACCCCCCATCGAACATTCTCGCTAGCTCTCTCAAGATCGTCGGCACTCGAGCCCCACCGTGCGCATTCCATGCCCGCGAGGCGTGCGTACGTCTGTGATTCGCACTGCCCTGTGGCCGGCGGTTTGCACAACCTGCACAGCGACTAGAAGTGGTTGGCAATGCAGGTGGTTGCCCCCTGTGAGAACGAGTGCGCGTGTTCACGCGCGTGCTGCACACAATTGCCTGCGGCTTCCACGAACAGCATGTTTCGAACAGCACGATCAACCGATTATCGTTATCATGCAGACGAACCTGCAGCGGAACAACGGGGACCAGCTCGCTTCCCCAATACAATCTTCCTCCTCCTCGTCCTCCTCCTTCTGCTACTTCCAGCTGCTCCTCCGACGCGACATGCTCCTACACGTGTCTACAGTCCATACCCGTCTATACCCAACCTTGTTCGCTTTTATGTTCCTCCTTCTTCCACTGTGCTCTCCGCTTCATGCTCATCGTCCCACTCCTCTTCGCCATTCAGCCAGCTGCCCCAACCACACTTGAGGGGGCCCAGATGAATGCACATCTGCGAGAGAGCGCGCCCGCAGGGCCCGAGCAAAGGGAAGGGGGAGCTAGGCTTAAGCTACCCCCCCCCCTCCCTTGAGCCGCCCATGTTGGAAGCACCCCCCCCCCTCCCCCCCTTTTTTTTGCAAGGGGGGGGGGGGCTTACAGCTACCCCCCCCCTCTCCCCTTCGGCCCTCCCGGAAGCTACCCCCCCCTCCCCCCCTTTCCAAAGGGGGGGGGGGTGCTTAAGCCACCCCCCCCTCCCTTGGCGCCGCCCTGCTGGAAGCTACCTCCCCCCCTCCCCCCCTTTCGTGCAAAGGGGGAGGGGGGCTTGGAAGCTACCCACCCCCCACCCCCCTTTGGCCGCCCCGGAAGCTACCCCCCCCTACCCCCGGGGGGGTGCTTAAGCTACCGCCCCCCTCCCTTGGAGCCGCCCTGCTGGAAGCTCCCACCCCCCTCCCCCCCTTTGTGCCAAAGGGGGGGGGGGCTTGGAAGCTTGCCCCCCCCCCTTGCCCCCTTTGGCCGCCCAGCCCCCGGAGCCTCCGCCCTCCCTTTCGCCGACGATCCAAAATGAACAATCCACGATCGAGGATGGACGATCGACGATCAACGATCGACGATCGAAAATCCCAATCGAATCGCTTGCAATCGATTGCACTCCATTCCACTGCAATCCCCCTCCCCACCTCCCTCCGCTCCCTCCCCTCCCTCCACACCCTTCGTTCCATCTCCTCCCTCCCCTCCCTCTCCTCCCCTCCCTCCCTTCCGTCCTGTCCCTCCCCTGCAATCCAATCGATTGAATCGATTGCAATTCAACCGATTGCAATCCAATCGATTGCAATCCAATGGATTGCAATCGAATCGTTTGCAATCCAATGGATTGCAATCGATTGCAACGCAAGTGTATCATTCAACTCGTCCCGTGCCAACGCCCGGGAACGAAAAATTACCCTGGCGACGTACCCAACCCCTGCGCAAACGCGGGGCGCAAATAGTTTAGGACACTTTATAAGGGGGGCGATGACGGAGCGAGGGTTACATATGTCTGCAGACGGAATTCGGGAGACTCGCAGGAAACTGGCTTCAGGACAAGGACTAGATAAAGCTGATTAGTTGCAATCCCTGAGCAACCCTAGCCACTTCGAAAGCGGGGATCTCAGATCGCAGCCCCCCAGGGATGGCGAGGTCTAATTTGGGTCCGCGCGTGGCGTCACTGTGCTGGGCCCCCCAGCAGGCCTCGAAAGTGGCGACAGTTTCACAGATCGCAGCCCCCCAGGGATGGCGAGGTCTAATTTGGGTCCGCCCGTGGCGTCACTGTGCTGGGCCCCCCAGCAGGCCTCGAAAGTGGCGACAGTTTCACAGATCGCAGCCCCCCGCAAGCAAGACAGGAGGAGGCAAGAGGGAGACGGGACGGGAAGGAGGAAGTGGAGACCACACTGCTCTATTCAAAACGAATACCCAACCAAGGAGGGTTGGGAAAAATACGATCCCCCCCGAAAGTTGCACGAAGTGTAATTCGGAAAACGCCAGCCCGTCGGGTTTGGCAGTGTTCGTGTAAGACGGCGGCCAGCTGGGGGAGGAGGAGGCGGAGGATGGGGGAGGCGGAGGGGGAGGAGGAGGAGGAGGAGGAGGAGGAGGAGGAGGAGGAGGAGGATGGGGAAACGGAGGAGGAGAATCACGAGGAGGAGGAGGAGGAGAAGGAAGAGGATGAGGATGAGGATGAGGATGAGGATGATGATGATGATGATGATGATGAGGAGGAGGAGGAGGAGGCGGGAAAAATGGAGGAGGAGGAGAAAACCGAGGAGGAGGAGGAGGAACGGAACGGAAGGACCCGCGGGGGAGTACGACGATGATGATGATGATGATGATGATGATGATGATGATGATGATGATGATGATGATGATGATGATGATGATGATGATGATGACGATGATGACTATGAGGAGGATGAGGAGGACGAGGAAGAGGAGGAGGCAAAAGGAAGAAGAGGAGGGGGAGAGGGGCGGGAATAAATGGAGCGAAAGGGAGGGCGATGGCTCCGGGAGCTGGGCGGCCAAAGGGGGGAAGGGGGGGGGGCTTCAAGCCCCCCCCCCCTTTTGCACCAAGGGAGGGAGGGGGAGGGGCTTCCAAAGCCCCCCCCCCCCCCCCTTTCAAAGGGGGGGGGGGCCCACCCAGCTCCATTAAAAGGAGGGAGGGGGGGGTAGCTTGGAAGCCCCCCCCCCCCCCTTTCCGGCCACGAAAAGAGAGGGGAGGGGGGGGTTAGCTTCCGAAGCCCCCCACCCCTTTCAAAGGGGGGGGGTGGCTCACCCGGGCTCAATTAAAGGGAGGGAGGGGGGGGGGTAGCTTGGAAGCCCCCCCCCCTTTCCGAACCACGAAAAGGAGGGGAGGGGGGGGGAGCTTCCGAAGCCCCCCCCCCTTAGCAAGGAAGGGGGGAAGGGGGTAGCTTCAAGCTGGGGCCCCCCTTTTAGTCTATCGGGCCCCACGCGCGCGCTCTATCACATCTGCAGCTGTGGCGTACCGGCATGAAGCCCGGGCACAGAGCAATATTGTAAACATTATCCTGCACCGATTCCGGAAGGCCAATCCGAGGCCGCCACGGTCACTGACGCTGAAGCTTCAAAGCATCTGGCCAAAACTCTGGGACTTCGCCATGTGACCTTCTTGCGGAAATTGCTGTCACCAAGTCGTCGTCGTCGTCCTCGTCCTCGTCATCCTCCGCTTTGCTCCCGCTCCTCCGCCTGTATACTATTCCGCCACATCCTTCCTATCCTTACTCCACCGCCTCCTCCTCTTTCCTCCACTTTAGTTTTATTCCTCCTTGCGCCCATCTTCCCCTCATAGTCCCCTCCCTCCTCACCATCGTTCTCCACAGCCTCTGCATCTTCCATCCCTTCTCCTTTCGGAAAACCCTGACACAGAACACAGGACAAGTCGAGGGGCCTCCGCAACTGGTCCGAGCATATGGGGTCGGAGGATCGCGTCGCATCGGGCGGTGCATCGGCAATACATCGGCGATGCGTCGGCGATGCATCGGCGCCGTCGGCGCCGAGAAAATCGGGCTCCACATCGAGCCGCATCGCCGATGCATCGGCGATGCTATGCGATGGTTCGACCCCATTCGCTCAGACCACATTTCTAAGGAACCCACAGAAGGACTTCATGACGAGCCCAACCACGTACATGAATAACTACGGCACCCAGTCCGCGAGACCAAACTGGTGCTACGAATGATCACGCAATGTGTACTTACGAAGCCATTCCCACAATTTCTGGGATGCGTTCTGACCAGAATGTTGCAGCGAGTCCAACAGTGGCGACGAGGGCCTCCCAGGAGGCCCGAAAAGGGGACAACGAGGCAAGGGCAACGGTATGGGTACGTGTCCTCATCCGAATGTGCGTGTAGGTCCTTCTTTCGCTCCTGACTCTGGGAGGCATAGAACCGTGAGGTCCGATGCATAGAACCTTGCGATCCGACTTTGCGAACAAAAATAAAACATCGCGAACAATCACGACCAGAGGTCTAGAGCCTAGGCCCCATCTTTCTGCGTCATTGTCCGAGCTGTATCGATCTGCGAGGGTCCCAGCGCACGAAAACGGGCGAATGCGTCCATTGTGGAGAAAAGGCAACGCCAAGATCTCAAGGAACGTCGAAGCGACAAGTCCGACCCGGGTCACAGGTCCGGCCTGGACGCGGCTCCTCCTCCCTGGCCTCGGTCAGGGATCTACTGACCGGGGTCGATCCAGACCCGGATCAGTCAGGCATTGCGGGATCCTGCAGGATCCTGCAGGACCCTGCGCTCAAACCAAGGTCAACGCGGGCTCTGCAGGATCCTGCAAGATCCCGCGCTCTGACCGACCCCCGCTTGCATTGACCCCCCGCCCAATTGATTTTTTGTGATCATATCCACTAAATCGACCTGAGATCAAGAGAACGATCGAGACGAGAGCCTAGATGGATGCAAAAACATACCAGATTTTCGAGTACATAATTTCCAACCGAGGTCTCCCCCGACTGGGCTCCGCCCTCTTCTCGGGTCGGGCGAAAGGGGGGATAGCAAAAGGGGGGTTTGAGAATCAGCTCACGTCGCTGATTTTCCCGGCGCCTCCCGGCGCCGGAGGCGGCCATGTATCGAGGAATGGGCCCCTCGGTGAGGCCGAAACCAGCTGCATGCAGCAAATTTCGTAACCCCCCCTTTCCCAATCCCCCCCTTTCGTTCGGCCCGATCTTCGGGTCGCGGCCGCCCGCCCGGCTGGCAGGAGAAGTACTCGGTGCCCAGGACGGTGCCGTCGTGCATGCCGCCCCCGCCTGGGAGGCCCCACGGGCCCGGCGGCCTCCCTGCGAGGCTCGAGGTCCGAGGCTCGAGGCGATTTTCGGGAGCGGCCAAGAGGGGGGGGTCCAAGAGGGGGGGGTGCAAATCATGACTGGCGGCACGTGCGCGGCCCAGCGGGGGGGCCGGGGACGTCATGGAAGGAGAAGGGGCGCCATGAAACCTGGGGGAAGATCATGGCCCCCGCCATGAGATCCACACCCCCTAGTCATCACCCCCCTCTTTTCCGCCCCCGAGATTTGTCATGGTTCGAGGTTCGAGTTGTAAGGTTCGAGGTTCGAAGTTCGGCGGCGGGCCTCGAACTTCGAGATTCGAGACGGTTGTTCAAAAATTTCGGACTCTGGGGGCCGGTTTCGGGCTCCCAAATCCCCGAAACCCGATCCGGGGTGGAAAGCCGCGTCGGATGGACCCCAGGAGGCGTCCGGGGACCGACTTTGACAGATATTCGGCGGCGTGCCTAGGGGTGGAAGTGAGGAGGAGGAGGCCTTCTCAGAAGGCGGCGGGGCCTCTCAGAAGCCCTCGTGCCTTCAGAGGAGTGTCTGGTCTCTTTGGGAGAGGCTCAGAAAACTTCTCAGACGGCCGGGGGACTTCCGAGCCTTCTACGAAGGCCCGCTCCCTCTGACTACCCCTGCGGGCGCCCGCCGATCTTTGGACGCCCGAGAGGGGTACGGAACACATTGGTACAGTCGGACTTCATTGGACAGGACACGCGAGAGGACACAAGACTCGTCCGAAGGCCACAGCGCCATAGGATGTAGGAGGCATGGGTCGCGAGACACAGGACACAAGGGTACCCTTGATTTGGTAGGGTCGACCTACTAATCTGGGCCGACTGTACAATGTCCAGCTAGTGCCGCTGTTGGGCAGGCGGTGTCTCAAGAGGGCAACGTCCGCAGCGGAGCGGACAGCGAGCCATGTTCCGAATGATCAGGAACTGCTGTTGGGCCTCGTCCACATTGCTCCACACCCATTTCGATCGCACCGATCTTCCAGGAGGCCCCCTGGCTCAGCAGGCAGTGGTGTTCAGGAGGCAGCTCCTTAGCGAGGTCTTCGCTTTTGTCTTGCACGACTTCGCCTCTGTCCTTCAGTCTGCCCCGCGATGCAACCAGGTGATGAACCTGCAGGAGAAACACTGAGTGGACAGCCCTCGGGGCAAACATTCGGTGAACTACTCTTCTGCTATACAAGTCGTCCCTACGCAGAAGAAGGATATGAGGAGGAGGAGGAGGAACAAGGCATTCGAACGGAGGAAGAAAACGAGGCATTCAAATCCTTGAGGGACGTTCGTGTTACCGACTGACTCATTACGGGCTGCCGAGCCCGTCTCGGGCGGGTTGCATCCGGCTGGCCCACGAGGCCCAAGACGACCCCAAGGGGGTCCCCAAGACGGCCCCAAGAGGCCTCCAAGACGCTCAAGATGACCTCCAAGACGGCCCAAGAGCCCTTCAAGACGTCCTCCAAGAAGGCCCGAAAGGGTCAAAATGGCCCACAAGCGGCCAAGATGACCTTCAAGATGCCCACGTGTTTCCCGAAGGCTTTCCAAACTGATTCGGGGAACACATGGTCCGATTGCTTGGCAGGTCTGGTCTCCCCGTTCGGTCACATAGGCGCTTCCAAAAAGGCAGGGGGCGGCGGTGATTTGCCGTAGGCGTCTTCGATCCGCCGCCCCCTTTTGATTCATCATAAGGGGTGCCTGGCGTGCTTGATCCTACCGGTTTTGGTTTTGGCTCTTTCCCCAAAGAACTCCCCCTGGGGCTTCGGTCCAGCGCGCTGGCCCCGCGGAAAGCTGCCGAAAGGGACCAGAAACGACCTCAATGTCCGCAAGAAATCCTCTGAGGATCAAGATGGTCTCTTAGACGGCAAGATGGCATCCAAGTTCGGCCAAGAAGGTCCAAGATGGCCTCCAAGACGTCCCAAGAGGGTCCAAGATATCTCCAACCCTGCCGAAGAAGCCTCCAAGACAGGCCAGGACGGCCCAAGAGGACCCACAGAGACCTCCAAAATCATTGATCTTCCTGAGATTTGTGAAGGATTTGGGCAGTTGCTTCTTTTCGGCCTTCCAACAGCCCGAGAAGGCCCAAGAGCCCGCAAAGATCGCACGAAAATCGCCCAGGAGCCCTCCAAGATGGCCCCTCAAGGCAGCCCCAAGAGAGCCCAAGAGGGCACAAGAGGCCCCCAAGACACCAAAAATAGCCTCCAAGACGACCCTGAAGCACCCCAAGAGGGCCCCAAGTCGGCCCAGAGAGGCCCCCAAGACGGCTTCCGACAGCGTCAGACGGGCCAGGAGGCCACAAGACGGCCCAAGATGGCTCCAAGATGACCCAAGACGGCCCAGGAGGCCCCCAAGAGATCGCCAAGACTGCCCAAGGGGCCTCCAAGAGGCCTCCAGGAAGGCCCGAAGCGGCACAAATAAGTGATTCGCCTTGCGTGTTTTTTTTTCGTGCCTCACGTATGTGGATGACTCGAAGTAAGATTTCGAGATGCCGAGCTGTGGAACCACGAATAGACCGTGCACGTCGCGGCCCCACAGCTAGAGCACAGAACCAGTTGATGCAGCCCTTGGAGCTGGGAAGGTCAACTGACGCATATCTTAAAGCAACGATGCTTGAAATCCGCCGACCCTGCCGGCGTGTGGAAGAGGCTGTTCCGTTTGACTCGTCCTCGTCGTCGTCGTGGTCGTTGCTGTCGTCGTCGTCGCTGTCGCCGTCGCCGGTCCCCTCCCTTTCCCTGAGCCTGGCGCCGCTGCCTCCACTTTTACCGGGCCCTCCTCCTCGAGCGCGCCAGCCACAGCGAAATTGAGCAGCGCTGTAGTTGAGTCGAAGGGAAGCCCCTTCCCTTTGATCCCTTCCCCGCCGGGGGGAGGGGGGTTCCCGGGTCAGATACGACTCCCCTCCGGGCGGTTAGGGAACCCAGACAATCCCCACGACGTAGCAAAAGTGCCCCGAAAGGCTCCCGAGAATGTCCTCGAGGGCCCGACGGAGTCCCAGGAGGGGGGGGGTACTGTTATCCCACTAGCCCTCTGGGCGTCGGTGGTTTACGGAGTTTCCTCTTCCACCCCTCCATCTTCCCCTTCGGAAAGGGGTTCATCACTGTTCCCTATTAATAAACACCCCCTCCCCCAGGCGACTGGGGGCCAACCCAGGTCCATGACGACACCCCCCACCATCCCTAGTAAAAAAACAATACAAACACACTCTGCCTCCAAATTCGGAACACGCGCAGCCAACCCGATGCGCCCCACCCCCACCATCCCTGTCAAAAACCAATACAGAGTACACTTGGCGGCGGCGGCGGCGGCTGCGGCGGCTGCGGCGGCGGTGGCGGCGGCTGCGGCGGCTGCGGCGGCGGCGGCGGCGGGGGCGGCGGCGGCGGCGGCGGCGCGGCGGCGACTGCGGCGGCGGCGGCGGCGGCGGTGGCGGCAGCGGCTGCGGCGGCGGCGGCGGTTTGGCAGCGGGGGGCGGCGGCGGCGGCGGCGGCGGCGGCGGCGGCGGCGGCGGCGGCGGATTGGCCCCCAGCAGCTGCCCATCCAAAGACGACTGCTGAATATGCTCAGGCTCGAGCCAGACTCGGGTGCTACGTATGTGTTGGGAGGGCGGGTGGGAGTGAGCGAGACGGCTTGCGGGCGGGGAGGGGGTCTTGTCCCCTCCCCGTACCCCCTCCCCGTGGACCTGGACGGGAGGGGCCGCGAGGAGTCAGAGCATCCAAAACGGCCTCGGCGAGGAAGCCAAAAACATGTACTTTACTTCGGTTTGGGCCCCATTTTGGCCTCCTGGGGGGGGCAGGCAAATTAATGCTCCGCACTTCTTTGGAAGATTTCCTCCAAGACGGCCCCAAGAAGTGCCCGGGAGGCCATAAGGCCCCCAGATGGCCCCAAGATGGCTCCAAGAGGCCCCCATGAGGACTCCAGGAGGCCCCCAAGAGACCCCCAAGAGGCCCCAAGAGACCCCCCCGAGGCACCCAAGATGCTCCAAGAGGCCTCTGCGAGAATGCCAAAACGGCCTCGGCGAGGAAGCCGAAATCATTGGCTTTACTAAAGTTTTTCCTCCATTTTGGCCTCCTGGGGGGGGCGCTAATGAATGCTCCCCTCTTGTTTGATCGATCTCCGTCAAGATGGCCCCGGGAAGCGCCCAGGAGGTCCCGAGAGGTCCCAGGATGGCCCCAAGATGGCCCCAAGAGCTCCCAAGAGGCCCCCAGGAGGCCCCCAAGAGACCCCCAAGAGGCCCCGAGAGACCCCCCAGAGGCACCCAAGATGCTCCAAGAGGCCTCGGCGAGAATGCCAAATCATTGATTTCACAGAAAGGTTTTAGCCACATGTTGGCCTCTTGGGGGGGAGCACTGATTCAGATGACTCCAAGAGCGCCTGGGAGAGCCCAAGATGACCTCCAAGATGGCTCCAGATACCCCAAGGTGTCTCATAATGGCTTCCTCTGTGTGCTGCCCACTTCCCTGATCCAGGCAATTCCTGTGGGCATCGTTTCTGGATGGGCTGGTGGGGATTCGCGAAGCGTCAACAATTTGTCTCCCTCCTCCCTCTGCTCTTCGCTCCTCCTCCTCCTCCTCCTCCTCCTCCTCCTCCTCCTGCTTCTCCTCCACCACCTCCTCCTCCTCCTGCGTGCGGGGGGGGACCGGAGGTAAATCCCGGAAACAAGTCCCGGCGATGCTCCAGGAGGGGGCCAGGGAGAGCCCCGAAAGTTCTGTCATGATGTTTGTTTCCTGCCTCCTCCTCCTCCACCTCCACCGTTGCTCTCCCTCCTCGTGCCCCTCCTGTGCCTGCTCCTCGTCCTCCTTCTCATGCTCCTCCTCCTCATCATTCTCCCCCGCCTGCTCCCTCAACTGCCTCCTCCACCCTTCCTCCCTCTCTCCACCTCCTCCTCCCCCCCCGGGTTTCCATATTCGTGGCCTCCAGGGTCGGCGGCACAGGCCGTAAGGCCTTCGCAATAAAAAATGTCTGCGCTAGCGAACTGCGCGGACTCCGCTGGTGCTTGAGAACAGTCGGGGATGGACAGACCCCCCTTTAGTAAAACGTGGTTTAGTGAAAACGACCTGAAGCCCAAACCTGGAGGGTGCGAGCCTGGAAAATAACGGCCACGGCGCCCTCTCGAGAACCGAAAACGGACAATTCACTAATCGACGTGTCACTGTTGGGGGTTCTGTCCACCCCCGAAACAGTGCCAGGGCAGTCGGCTCGGCTGCTTGAGTCGGCGCTGCCGATTTGCCGCTGCCCTGGCTTTGCACCGCACGGGTAACTATCGCGCACCGCATCCCGATGGTCGTCTCTGGCAGTCCACGTGGGCTACCCAACCGACCCCTCAGCGCGGGTCCGTGTTAAGCATCGAAGTCGGCGTTGTCGCGCCAGGCTCGGGCGGGGGGCCGTATGGCACGCAGATTTTCTTCGTTGACCAGCCACCTCCGTTGCTGATCAAGCTCGTCCAGGAGAAGTCGTACGCCTCGTTGAGCGCAGTCAGGTTGCTGGCGAAGAGCTCGACGTACTTCAAATACTCCGGATCCTTGATCAGGGCAATGTCGGTCGTGAGACGCATCCGCGGGTCGTCAGGATTCTCCTTCATTCGCCACTGAATCGCACCGCCCGGGCCCAACCACGGCTCCCACTCGTAATCCAAGAGATACGTGAAATACTCGTTGGACCACCGCGTTGGCGTGCTCGTCCAAGGGCCCTCGAACCCGCTAGTCCACGTGGCGTTTCCCATGCCCGTGACCCCGCCGTCGAGGTTGGGGCACTTGCCCACGTAAGGGTACGTGCCCTCTGCGAAAGCCATGTTGGGCGGCAGTCCAGCCGGCTCCTCGTACTCGAACTTCGAGCAAGCCCCGTGGCACTTGCCGAAGGCGTGGCCGCCGCCGATCAGAGCGACCGTGGCCTTGTCGTCGTGGCCCATCTTGCCAAAGACAACCCTGATCTCATCGACGCTCTTCACGGGGTCTGGGACTCCCATCGGGCCCCCAGGGTTCACGTAGATCAGTCCGACCGTTGTCGGCGCGAGCGCCGTCTCATTCGGATGCATCTGGCACATCCCATTCACAGGACCAGTGCAGGGCGCCATCTCCTCCTTTGAGCAGGGACCAACCGTCCCGGCATTCCTATAGTCATACCACGAAATGTTATTATCGGGTCGGGCGAAAAGGGGAGATAGCAAAGGGGGGCGTTAAGAATCAGCTCGCGTAGCTGATTTTCCCGGCGCCTCCCGGCGCCGGAGGCGGCTATGTATCGAGGAATGGGCCCCTCGGCGAGGCCGAAACCAGCTGCATGCAGCAAATTTCGTAACCCCCCCTTTCCCAATCCCCCCCTTTCGTCCGGCCCGATATTAGAACCCACAAATGTTCTAACAACAAAAACAATGTTCTTAGAACATAAACCGATGTGTCAAAACAAGACAATATCCGCCAGAAATGTTCTAAGAACATTCCGTGGAAACCACACAAGGCTTTTAGAACATTACTTGGTATACGCGAGCCAGGACGCTTCGCCACTGCTTGACTCCTGCATCTCGCCGGGCCCCAGCGGGAGGCTCTTCGCACCATCCTCATCGTCGAGACGACCGAAGCAGAACTCCTTGAAAGGCATGCCGCTCGCCCACTGGGTCTGCGTGCCGGCCAGCGCGATCAGGTCCGCCCAGCTCAGACCGTCCCCGTACTTCTCCTTGAGCGGCCAGAGCAGGCCTCGCGCCTTGTCCAGGTTCGTGTTGTCCTCCCAGCTGGCCTCGGGGTCGAATCGCTGACGGCCGCCGCCGTCGCCTCCGAAGTCGTCCGTGTTGCGGAAGGTGCCGGCGGCGTGCCACGACAGCCGCGTGAAGAGCCCTACGTAGCTTCCCCAGTCGCCCGGCCAGCAGGACTGCGAGTCCGTCATCAGCTGGGTCATGTCGTCCATGACGGCCGTGAGGTCGAGCTCGGCGAGAGCGGCCACGAACTCTTCCTCGCTGGGGGCCTTCGCGAACGAGGTGTTCGGGGTGCCGTAGAGCAAGCCAGGGCAGGGCTCCCATCCGTCCGGCACGGGCGGCGCCGGCCCCGGGGGCGGGTCTGGCGACTGGGCCGCGTGGATGGCCACGCGCGTCGACGCCCGGGCCTGCTTCTGCAGCAGCGCCGGGTCGTCAGCGGCGCAGCTGCCCGATGGGCAGGCCTCCTCGGGCTGCGCCAGGGCCAGCCGCCACAGGGCGCCGACGCCCAGCGCACCGAGCGCCAGTGCCGCAGCGTGCCGCAGCCCCGCCATCGGGTCCGAAGGCCGGCCTTGTCGCGTGCTTGCTCGTCGAGTGGCCAAGCCCTGAAGCAGCTTGAGCCACAATAGCTACGAAGTTATTCGCCTTGCGTTTTGGTGGGATTTGAACATTTGCTTCTGTTCGACATTCCAATAGCCCGAGACGGCCCAGGAGGCCCCAAAGATCGCCTAAGAGGCCTTCAAGAAGACGGGGCCATAAACCACCGCAAGAGGGCCCCAAGCGGGCCGAAGAGGCCTCCAAGACGGCCCTGGAGCACCCAAAGAGGGCCCCAAGTCGGCCCAGAGAGGCTCCCAAGACGGCTTCCGACGGCGTCAGACGCGCCAGGGATGCCCTAAGATTGCCCAAGAGGCCCCCCCCGAGAAGCCCCCAAAGGCCCCCAAGGGGCCCAAGGAGGCTCCCAAGATGCCTCCAAGAGGCTCCCAGGAAGCTCCCAGATGGCCCCAAAAGTGCCCCCAAAGTCTCCCGAGATGCCCTGTCCTCCTCCTCCTCCTCCTCCTCCTCCTCCTCCTGATCTTCCCCGCCATCCTCCCCTAAGTGTTCCCCACAGGGTTTCCACAACGACTGGGAGAACACATGGTCCGATAGCTTGGCAGAGCTCTTGCCGCAACGCTCGGCCACACGGGCGATTCCAAAAGGCAGGAAGCGGCGGCGATTCGCCGTAGGCGTCTTCGATCCGCCGCCCCCTGTGGTCTTGCCACAGGGGTGCCCGGCGTGCTGGATCCTGCCGGCTTGGCTTTGGTTCTTTTTCAAAAGAGCTCTCTCCGGGGCTCCGGCCAAGCGCGCCGTCCACCCGGAATGGCCCGCCCGCTGCGCCACCAACATCACCAAACACGGCCGTCTCGCCATGCAAATCCTCAAACAATCGCGATCTTGGGGATCCTAGCCCAAGACGCCTTATTATTCGCACGAGACATCCTTCAACACATGGCGATGTTGAAATCGATGGCCTCATCTTCGGATCCCAAGAAACTTCCAAATCCGCCCACGAAGCCCCCAAGAGGGCCCAAGACGGCTCCAAGACGGCCCAAAAGGCCCACAAGAGGTCTCCAAAACGGTCCACGAGGTCTCCAAGAGGGCCTCCAGGACCGCCCGAAGAGGCCAAAATCATTGATGTTCCGTAGGTTCTTGATTGATTTTGACATTTGCTTATTTTCGACCTTCCGACGGCCCGAGACGGCCTAAGAGTTCCCAAAGATCACCCCAAAGTCGCCAACGAGGCCTTCAAGATGGGCCCACCCCCAAGGCGGCCCCAAGGAGCCCCAAGACGGCTCAAAAAGGCCTCCAAGACACCCAAGATGGCCTCCAAGACGGCCCTGGAGCACCCCAAGAGGGCCCCAAGTCGGCCCAAAGAGGCCCCCAAGACGGCTTCCGACGGCGTCAGACGGGCCAGGAAGCCACCAAGACGGCCTAAGATGGCTCCAAGATAGCCCAAAACGGCCCAAGAGGCCCCCAAGAGGTCGCCAAGGCGGCCCAAGGGGCCTCCAACAGGGCCCCCCCAAAAACCCGAATTGGCCAAAATCAGTGCTGTTCCGTCGGGTTTTGAAAGATTTGGGCATTTGCTTCTTGTCAGCCAGCCGACGGCCCCCCCAAGTCGGCCCCAAGATCGCCCAAGAGGCCTCCAAGATAGCCCCAGAACGGCCCAACAGGGCCCCAAGACGGCCCAAGAGGCTTCCAAGACGCCCAAGATGCCCTCCAAGACGGCTCTGGAGCACCCCGAGAGAGCCCCAAATCGGCCCAAAGAGGCCTCCAAAACGGCTTCCGACGGCGGTCGGCGCGCCAGGAATGACATAAGACGGCCAAAGAGGCCCTCGAAACGCCCCAAAAATCCCGCAAGAGTGCCCCCAGAGGCTCCCAAGAGGCCCCCTCTTCCTGCTCCTTCTCCTCCTCCTGCTCCTCCTCCTCCTCCTCCTTCTCCTCCTCGTCCTTCTCCTCATCCTCCTCCTCTTCCTCCTCCTCCTTCTCCTCCTGATGTTCCGGACCATCCTCTCCCAAATGTCCCCGAAGGGCTTCTACAACGGCTAAGGCAACACATTGCCCGATAGCTTCGCGGAGTTATTGCCCACAACGCTCGGCCACATGGGCAAGTCCAAAAAGCAGGGGGCGGCGGTGATTCGCCGCAGGCGTCTTCGATCCGCCGCCCCCTGTCGATTCATCGGAAAGGTGTCTGGCGTGCCGAATCCTATCGGTTTTGGTTCTGGTTCTTTTCCAACAAAAACTCCCCCTGGGACTTCGGCCCGTCCCGCCGGGGTCCCGGAAGGGGTGGTTGCAAAGGGTTTTCCTGCCTCAGACGGCCGGGAGATGGCTCCCAAGACGCCTCCAAGACGGCCAAGATGGCCTCCAAGGCGACTAAGAAGGCCCGAAGAGGCCAAAATCATTGGTTTTCCCTAGGTGTTTGAAAGATTTTGGCAGTTGCGCCTTTTCGAGGCCCAAGACGGCCCAAGACGGCCCAAGAGGCCCCCAAGGTCGCCCGAAGATCGCCCAAGAGGCCTCAGAGAAAGGGAGATCAGGGAGAGAGGGAGGGAGGGAGGAAGAATGGAGAGAGGGAGGGAAGCAAAAGAGGAAGGGACGGAACGAGGAAAAAGGAGGACGAGGAGAACGAGGAGGACGAGGAGGAGGACGATGAGGGGAGGAAGAAGAGGAGGGAGGAGGAGGAGGAGGAGGAGGAGGAGGAGGAGGAGGAGGAGGAGGAGGAGGAGGACGCGGAGGAGGAGGGGGAGGAGGTGGAGGAGGGAGGAGGAGGAGCAGGAGGAGGAGGGGGGCAGGACAAGAAGGGGGGAAAATGAGAAGGAGCAGGAAGAGGAGGGGGAGCAGAGGGAGAAACAGGAGGAAAGGAGGAGGAGGACGAGGCAGAGGAAAAGGAAAAGGAGGAAGAGGAGGAGAGGAAGACGAGCACCGATGCCTTCGGAACCATGTATTATCCACCACCCTAAATCAAACAGTCCTGAATTGCCACCCCGAACCCGAAGCGGAACTCGATCCGAAATCCAATTCCCCGCCCGTGCCGGGGCCACCCGCGTCTTAGAATCCGAATCTGACTTCGAATCCGAGCCCGAAAATGGCAAAACAAGAGGGCCTGCAGGAAGGCCCGAAAACGCCAAAATCATTGATTCCCCATGAGTTTTTGAAGGAATGTGGCATTTGCGTTTTTTTGGCCTTCCGACGGTCAGAGACGGCCCAGGTGCCCCCAAAGATCACCCAATAGACCCAAGACGGCCCCAAGAGGCCCCTAAGACGACCCAAGAGGCCTTCAAGACGCTCAAGATGGCCTCGCCTCCAAGACGGCCCAAGAGCCCTCCAAGGCGTCCTCCAAGAAGGCCCGAAAGGGTCAAAATGGCCTCAAGACGGCCAAGATGACCTTCAAGATGCCCACGTGTTCCCCAAAGGCTTTCCAAACCGATTTCGAGAACACATGGTCCGATAGCTTGGCAGGTCTGGCCTCAACGTTCGGCCACATAGGCTCTTCCGAAAGGGCAGGGGGCGGCGGTGATTCGCCGTAGGCGTCTTCGATCCGCCGCCCCCTGTGCTTGTTACAGGGGTGCCTGGCGTGCTGGACCCTTTCGGTTTTGGTTATGGTTCTTTGTCCAAAAGAACTCTCCCCTTGGGCTTCGGCCCGTCCCGCCGGCCACGCGGAAAATGCTAAAGTCAATGGGCTCCAAGATGCCTCCCAGACGGCTTAGATGGCCCAAGATGGCATCCGCGCCCGCCTACGTAAGATGGGCCAAGATAACATCCAATACGGCCCAAGAGGGTCCAAGATACTTCCAGATCCGCCCAAGAAGCCGCCAAGACGGCCCAAAAGGCCTCCAAGACGGCCCAAGAGGCCTCCGCGAGGTCCTCCAGGAGGGCCCCCAAAGGCTAACATCATTGATAGTCATTGGGTGCTTCAAACGGATTTCTGGTATTTTCTATGTTTCTGCCATCTGACGGCCCGAGATGGCGCAAGAGACCCCAAAGATCGCCCCCCAGGGCGCCCAAGAGGCCCCCATGATGGCATCATGACTGCCAGAGGCCAAGAAAGCCCAAAGACGGCCCAAGGGGCCTCTCAGACGCCCAAGGAAGCCTCCAAGACGGCCCTGGAGCCCCCCAAGAGGGCCGCAAGTCGGCCCAGAGAGGCCCCCCAAACAGCTTCCGACGGCGTCAGACGGGCCAGGCGCCCACCAAGACGGGCCCAAGATGGCCCTAAGATGGCCCAAGACGACCCAAGAGGCCTCCAAGTGGGCCTCCAGGAAGGCCTGAAGAGGCCAAAATCATTGATGTCCCCTCCCTTAGGTTGTTGAAGGATGTTGGCATGTGCGTCTTTTCTGCCTTCCGACGGCTCGAGATGGCCCAAGAACCCACAACGATCGCCCCAAAATCGCCCAAGAGGCCTCCGTGATGGCTCCAGAACGGCCCAAGAGGCCCCTAAAACGGCCCCAAGGGGGCCCAAAGACGGCCCAAGATGCCTCTAAGACGCCCAAGGGAACTTCCAAAACGGCACTGGAGCAGTCCAAGAGGACCCCAAGTTGGCCTCGAGAGGCCCCCAAAACGGATTCCAACGGCGTCAGACGGGCCAGGAGCACACCAAGACGGCCTGAGATGGTCCTGAGATGGCCCAAGACGGCCCAAGAAGCCCCCAAGAGGGTCCCCACGAAGGCCCGAAGAGGTCACAAATCAGTGAGTTCCCTTTAGGTTGTTGAAGGATGTTGGCATGTGCTTTTGTTCTGCGTTCCGACGGCTCGAGACGGCCAAGAGCCCCCAAAGATCGCCCCGAAATCGCCCAAGAGGTGCCCGTGATGGCCCCAGAACTGCCCAAGAGGCCCCAAAAACTGCCCCAAGAGGGCCCAAAGACGGCCCAAGGGGCCTCTAAGACGCCCAAGATGGCCTCCAAGAAGGCCCTGGAACACACCAAGAGGGCCCCAAGTCGGCCCAGAAAGGCCCCCGAAACGACTTCCGACGGCGTCAGACGGGCCAGGCAGAAGCCCACCAAGATGGCCAAAGAGGCCCCCGAGAAGCCAAGGCCCCCAAGAGGCCCAAGGAGGCCCCCCAGGATGCTTCCAAGAGGCTCCCAGGAAGCTCCAGGGAGGTCCCAAGAGTGTCCCCAGAGGTTCCCAAGATAACCCCTCCTTCTCCTCCTCCTCCTCCTCCTTTTCCTCTTCCTCCTCCTCCTTCTCCTCCTTCTCCTCCTCCTCCTCCTCACCCTCCTCCTCCACCTCCTCCTCCGCCTCCTCCTGATATTCCCCGCCATCCTCCCCTGAGTGTTCCTCGAAGGGTTTCCTCAACGGCTGGGGGAACACATGGTCCGATACTTTGGCGGAGCTCACCACAACGCTCCGCCACATGGGCGATTCTAGCAGGCAGGGGGCGGCGGTTATTCGCCGTACGCCAACGTTTCAATATGCGCTGGTGATTCCTATACGCCCCCGCATGATGTTCCCTGATGCGTCAAGGCAGCGCCGAGACGCACCGACGCGACACTGATATGACTTATTATGATAGAGAGGGGGCCGGCGGCACTGGGCGAAGCCCTTACGCATATGCATGATGATGATGATGATGATGATGATGATGATGATGATGGTGATGGTGATGGTGATGGTGATGATGATAATGATGGTGATGCTGATGGTGACGGTAGTGAGACATGCAGTGATGATGGTGGCGTCGGGACGAAGAGGGCGACTCCCCCTAAAATTCTAAAGCTCCGCGCGGGCTCTGTGGATGGGAGAGCCGCAGGCCCCCGAGCGGGGCGGTGTCCTCCCAATACGTATGGAGTAAGATCGATGGATCTCGGAGTATGGCCAAAAATGTAGCTCTCGCGCACACGTCGTTCACTTCTAATCGTGCTCATTCCTAATTGTGCTCGTTTCTAATTGTTCCTTGCCCCATAGTGGCCAGGAAGAGGCCCAGGATAGAACAATTAGAAATGAAAGGATCTTGGCCCTCCAAAAATCAAATAACTGTCGAATGATTAGAAAAGAACAATGTGTAGGACTTCTTCGAGGATTCCTGAGGTTGCCGCTCGAGGCAATCGCACCAACCATGTGCTATTCCCCCAAGAAGCGGAAGTTTCCGGAGGCCCAACGTGACTTTTGCGCGGCCTCCGGTGGTCTCCGCTTGCAAGTGCGCGTGCTGTCGCCACTTTCGCCAGCGCGTCCGCAACCAGTTCGGCTCAGACGCTCCGACGACCACGGCGCCACGGAGGTTGGATCGGAAGACAATGGCGTCCTCCCTGCAGGCTCTGCATAGCTGAAGGGAAACTGGGACAGACAAATAAATACACACAAATAAAAAGATCCCCCATATTTTCATATATTTTCTGGGTTTTTGTCTTCCCCCACACTTCCCATGTTTTCCCATATTTTCTTGGAATCGACGATTAATTGTGTCTGTGTGTTTTTTCCCCTCCTGAACAATGGCGTCCTCCCTGGAGGCTCTGCGTAGCGCCTGGCTGTCGGCGAAGGACGTGAACCTGCGCGCTCGGGAGCGGGCCGAGGCCCGGTCGCTCCGGGAGGCCTGGCGCGCCGAGGGCAAGACGGACCAGGCCCCGGGCTCCGTCCGCGCGCCGCCGGCCTTCTGCTGAGGTCGCTCGGCGGGAGATCGCGAGGCGGCTCGCCCAGCGCCCGGGCCGTGTGGCAGCTCGTCCAGAGGATGTAGGAAGCCCACAAAGGACGTACGCGCCCAGCTATGTACATGAACACGGCCCCTTGACCCGCGAGACCTGCCGCGCGATACGAACATTCGCGCAATGCGAACTCTCGAAACCAGCGTGGATTCAAGTACATGTACGTCCTTCTTTCGCTCCTGAGGATGGGCGTCGACCCGGAGCGGTGGCCTGGGACGACCAATGCGCAGGCCGCCCCATGCCCGGAGCGCCTGCTTCGGGGCCCGAGCGCGACGGCGATCGCTGCGGCCGCGAAGAGGCTGGAGACGGGGGGGAGACGCCGACGTACTCCTCCATCGCGGCTGCGTGCCAGCAAGCGACGCTGAACCCGGATAAGGGGCAGCTCGTCGACAAACACCTTGTCCGGCGGCTTTTCAGGGAGACGTGCTACGTCGAGGACCGGGACGACCTCTGGCAGAATATGGCAAGACTGTCGCGGTCCGCGTTCGACCCCGTATCGCAGAGTCGCGGGTTCCAGGGAGTGACCAAGCGCCTCGGTCGGATTGTGCGCATGCCGCGACCTGTTCTCAGAACTCGCTGCGATTTGCTGAACCCGTTCTGACCATTCGTCTGGTTCAGACTCAGACAGCCACTGTCTTGACGACGCGTCGAAGTATACCTGAACAGCAGACTGGGGCGCGGCAATCCTTGCTCGAAGGTTGGCTTTCGCCGTGCACACGACCGCGCGGAATCCTGGTACTACAACGACGTCGCGCGGTGTGACCTGTGCAATATCGTACTCCCGAAGACGCACAAAAGAAGGCCAAGGAACTCACGCCGGGCAGGAAGGCTCGGAAGGCGTGGATGAGCAAGGGGGCAGAAAGCAAATCGGCGCACCCGCGGACGCCGGAAGCGATGCAGAAACGGAACAGCTCCGACACGCAGAGAGTCTGGTGACGCACCAATGGCTGCCAGACGACTTCCCTGGGGAGACGCCGGGTGGCGCCGCCGTGATTGAAGGGGAACTGGGACACACAAATAAATACACACAAATAAAATGATTCCCAATATTTTCCCATATTTTCTGGGTTTTTGTCTTCCCCCCCACTTCCCATATTTTCCCATATTTTCTGGGAATCGCAGATTAATTGTGTCTGTGTGTTTCTTTCCCTCCTGATCAATGGCTGCCAGACGACTTCCCTGGGGAGACGCCGGGTGGCGCCGCCGTGATGGCCGGCCGCGGGCGGGCAGCGTTGAGGGTCCGCTTTTCTGGGGGGCCCGCGCGCCGAAGGTGGTGTCCACGGACCGCGGCAGCGGCTTCTTCGGGGCGGGAAACGGCAAGATCACCAAGGAATACAAGAATATGAAGGGGCCCCAGGACACACAAATAAATACACACAAATAAAAAGAATCCCCATAGTTTCCTATATTTTCTCGGTTTTTGTCTTCCCCCCCACTCCCCATATTTTTGCATATTTTCCTGGGGGTCGACGATTAATTGTGTCTGTGTGTTTTTTTCCCTCCTGAAATACCTTGGCTTCAGCGGGCCTGAAATCGTTCTTCGGGGGGCGGCGCGTCCATGCGGCCGGGCAACTTGCAGGGACATCCTGCTCCACGAGGCCGCCGCGGCCTGGACCAGGGGCCGCCTCGCGAAAACCTCGCCGCGGCCCCCCTGGAAAGCGATGCCGGGCGACTGCTGCGGGCGCCTGAAGCTGGACGCAGCGCACATCGGCGACGACTGCTGCGTGGGCAGCCCGTGCCGCGTTCTGCCAGCGCGCGTGCACGCCCTGTGGCAGACCCAGGGAGGGACTACACCCTGCGAAATGCTTAAGAAATCATGGGTTAAGAAATTCATAGTCTCAGATCTTGAATAAAAACCCAAAACTCCCATTCAAATCTTAGGATTTACATTGAAACATTAAGAATAATCGAGACCCTGGCCGAAAATTCAAGTTTTCTTAAGCATCGCCTAAGGTGTACTACGTAAGTGCCTTGAAACGCAATCCGAGTCCAGATTACAACATAATCGCGGGATCTTGAGAGGCATTGCGCTGTGTCAGAAAACTGTCATCGACGCCATCTGTTTGATGACTGCCATCACCGCCGTCATCGCCGCCGAAGCCATCTGCAACACTTACGTCGCCGACCCTGCTGCCGCCAGTATCACCGTCGACTGCCAGAATTGATCAGATTTCAAACAAGACGCACAACAGAAATCGAAAGCAGAACCCTCCCCTGTCTGTAGGGCCGTGCTGGAGCGTCGGGAAGGCGGAAAGGCGGGACCGCCAAACGCCTTCAAAAACCTCGGAGAACAAAAATGATCTTGGCGTCTTGGGGCCCTCTTGGGAGGCCTCCTGATGGGCCGCCTGGGGGCCGTCATGGGCCGTCCTGGCGGTCTCGAAGCGCGTCAGCGAGCCATCTAGGGCCGTCTTCGGGCGATCTTCGGGTCGGTCGGGCGAAAGGGGGGGATAGCAAAGGGGGGGTTTGAGAATCAGCTCACGTAGCTGATTTTCCCGGCGCCTCCCGGCGCCGGAGGCGCTATGTATCGAGGAATGGGCCCCTCGGTGAGGCCGAAATCAGCTGCATGCAGCAAATTTCGTAACCCCCCCTTTCCCAATCCCCCCCTTTCGCCCGGCCCGAGATCTTGGGGGGCCTCCGGCGCGCTGGCGGGGCCCAGGGCAGCCCGGCCCCCACATTCGTGTGGTCGATGGGGGGCCCCGCCCTGGGCCCCTGGACCCGGTGCGCCGTGAAATGCGTGTATGTACAGATGTCTAGAGAGAGAGACCAGAGTAGCATAAAAATTGTATACACTTCTCGATTTGTGCGTGTCATCCTTGCGCAGGGGCCATGCTAATCTTCTCTGTATCGTTCCAATTTTAAAGGATGATCCCCGAAGGGAATCCAGATATCTAGAGAGAGAGAGACAGAGAGAGACAGAGAAAGAGAAAGAGGGTGGGAAAGAGAGAGACATCGAGACAGAGAGAGAAAGAGCGACGGGGCAACTGCACCGACGGTGGGCCCGATCTCCTGGCCGACCCAGGCCTGCCCGACTGGGTGTTTGAGAACCTCCCTTGATGTCCCTCCCCTGGCCAGAGCCAGACAATCATAGCACCTACCGGGCATCCGCCTCCTCTAGCCAGCCAGGTGTCCTTCTGCGTAGGGTGCGCTTGGAAGATGGAGGGGGGAGGAAAAGGAGGGAAGGGGGAGCTGGATCGGAAATGGGGGGGGAGGAGGCCGAGGAGGAAGAGGAGCTGAAGCCAGAGTGGTGGCGCCAGAGAGGGGGATAATCCTGCGGCCCGAGTGGTCAAGACAGCCGCATCAGTAGCGCTGGGAATTGAGACAGCCAAGAGAGGGACGCTCGGCCCCCGCCGTGCAGCTCCAGCCCGACCCAGTTGCCGTCGCCGAACCTGACCTTGCCGACGAAGCGCACAGTCCCGACCTTGCCATTCCACTCCACCTCAGGCGGGGGCATCGCTTTGCCACCGCACATCGTCGTCCGTTCCAAGACACATGAGGAGACCATGGTCGTCATCAACAGCACCATCACCAGCACCGCAATGACCACAAGCACCATCACCACCACCGCTACCACCATCACCATCCCCATCCCCATCCGAATCACGATCACCACCACGCTTTTTACGATCACCTTTATCAGTCTGATCACTATCGTAACTGCCACAATGTCTGTCAAGGAAAAGGACATGGGGAGCGACCACATAACTTGACGTCACAGCCTCAACCGCAATGAGAATCAAATCGTCGCCAGGCAAAAAGAGAACCACACACATCCGACCTGCGATAAGCGAACCCATGCAGAGCACCACAGCCTGAAGAGGACGGGAACGTGCTGCATGCGAGTGCCCCCCTGATGTCTAAACGGCCCGCGTTACCATATACACACCGCCCGACGAGAGGAGGCGAGGGAGAGGGGAGGTAAGGAAGCGAAACAAGCCAGATGAACATCACGCAAGCAGCGCAGATGGAGAGTGGCCAGGGGCGGACCAATCCTGCACCGCCGTCAGTATCACCATCATCAACATCTTCGGAAAGGCGGGCTCCCCCCCAAGGGACGCGCTCAGAGTGGCACGCGTGTCGGCCGGTCCGGAGAGCGCAAGCGTGACGTCCTTGCGCTCATCTTCTGTCGGGGGGGAGGGCGAGGGTGTCCAGGGGGGCGCGCGTCTTTGAAAGGGCCCTGGGACACACAAATAAATAGACACAAATAACAGGATTCCCCCTATTTCCCCATATTGTTCTGGTTTTTGCTTCCCCCCCCACTCCCCATAATTTCTTATATTTCTTGGGAATCGACGTTTAATTGTGTCTGTGTTGTTTTCCCTCCTGAGTCTTGGAAACACGATGGTGGGGTCGGGCAGGAAAGGGGAGGTCTACGCCGTCGCATCGGGGGCACCTGGCAGAGGAGCGCCCTGGCAGGAGCGCCACACGTAGCCTGCGCCGAAGGGCTGGGGCGGCCCTCCCTCCGCACCGAAGAGCTGGCGACGCCTCTCCCTCCACAGGCACCCTCGCAAAACTCTTTGGCCAGCGGCGAGCACGGGCGCCAGCGCGTTCGGCCAGCCGGCGTGTGGCGCCTGGCAGCCCTCACGAGGCCCAGAGTGCCCCAGGGCCTCCAAATTGCAGCGAAAAGCTGGGGGCACCCTGGGCCAGGGGCACTTCTAGCAACACCCGACACACTAGACAAGTGAAAGAACGAGTGCGGCCGCGGAGGGGGAACGTTGGGGGAGGCCTCATGCGTAATGAGGCGGTCTCAGGAAACGCAAACCAACGTATTGGAAGGTGAGCGGCCAGTGCGACCCCGAACGAGAGGCTAGCTCATGTCCCACCGGGGAAGCAAGCCATCATCCACTGGGCGGCTGTACTGGGCCAGGGCCGTCGGCTACATTGTTCTGAATATTTGCGCGTAGGTAAGGCACGTCGGGGCGAGGGTGCGCTGCGATCGCCATAATATGCGCGCGAACACATTCCTAGACCTGCGAGCACGACAAATGCCAGCGATTCGAGCACCCGCGCAAAGCCCTAGAACACTGGCAGAACCCCTGCAAGCACCGGCAGGGCGCCTGCGGAGCACCTGCGAGCAGCACCGCATGCCTCCAGGCAACAACACGTGGGGGCTGGACCTGCCCTCCACATGCTGGGGCCCGAACATCCGCTCACGTGACGGGGCTGGCCCAGACAGCGCCCGCTACGCGCCAGATGATGAAACAACAATATCTGTGCTGGGCCAGGGCCGACGGCGGCCGTCGTCAAGGGGCCTGTCAACACCCAGGCGCACATCCCGAGGCACCCGCAGCAGTGGAAAACGACAGGCCTGGGCCGCCAGAGGCGCAGGGGCCCTCCGTCCTCGGAGGCCTCGCAAGTCCCCCCCCGAAAGAGCCACAAACATCCCAAAGCAGTCATCGCCCCCCATCCCTCAGATCCGCAGCCCTGCCTCGAGGCACGAGTTGTAGTGCCTGCAGGTCCAGGTGCAGCCCTTGGTCCCCAGTCCTCAGGATCCGCCACCGTGCCCGCACGGAGTGGGCGCGAGAGAATGGGCGTCTGTTGTGCGGAAGTGTTTGTTGAGCTTCAAGGGCCCCCTCCCTCGACGCACGCGCCTTCAAAAATCGCTCCCTCTGAAACTGTTGCCTGCCAATCTTCTCGGCCTCCAGACGGCCAAGATGGCCTTTAAGACAGCTGCCAAGACAGCCAAGACGACAACAAAATAACTCGAAATGGCCCAAGATAGCTCAAGAGACTTTCAAGGCAATCTCACGACGAACCAAGAGGCTCTCAAGAGGGCCTCAAGACGGCCCAAGAGGTCCCAAGACCTTCCAGGAGAGCTCCAAGGGGCCTTCCTGGAGAGCCCGAGAGGGCCAGAACCATTGACTTCTCAAGGTATTCGAAAGATTTGGATGTTCTTGCCTGGTTCGGGTTTCCGACCGCCCAAGGCGGCCCAAGAGGCCTCTAAGAGGCCTCCAATATAGCTTCAAGGCAGCCCAAGAGGGCCCTAAGAAGGGACCCAAAGTCGGTCCCAGAGGACCCACATATTGCTCAAGGGACTCCCAAGAGGGCCCCAAGACGGCCTTAAAGCGCTCCAAAGAGCAGCAAGACAACCCTCAGAGGAGACTTGGGCTGTCTTGGGAAGTAAGTCAATGGTGTTGGCCTCCTAGGGCTATCATGGAAGGCCTCTTGAGGACCTGTTGGGCCGACTTGGAGCTAGAGAGCCCAAGTGGGGCAAATACCATCGATGTCCCATATATTGTTGGAAGATGTCGACCGACCAAGAGGCCTCTAAGAGGCCTCCAAGAGGCCTGCAGGAAGCTCCGAGGCAGCCCAAGAGACTCCCAAGAGGGCCTCAAGTCGGCCCACAAAGATTCAAAAATCGCCCACGGGGCTCATGGCAATGAACCGCTCCAAGAGGGCACCAACACAGCTTAGAGAGAATCCCCAAGGCGGCCTCCATAGGCGTCAATTGTGCCAAGAATCCTCCCAAAACGGCCCACGGGGTCCTGAGAGGCCGTCAAGAGGCACCGTGAGGTCTCCATGAGGCCCCCGAGAAACTGTAGGGGAACTCCCAGAAATCGGAATCGGAATCACGACCAGCCCCACTGCAGACTAATCGTCGGAAGTGCGCTGTTCCTTCACTCAGCCTCCTTCTTGCTACGCTGTTGCACAGGCGCGGTGGCGGGGTTTGCCACAGGCAGCTGGATTGAATACTTTACGGGGCACTGACCCGAAAATTTCAAATGTTCAAGTATTTCTGGCGTGCCTCCCGCTGTTACCCGGCGCTTCACGCATGATTTGTTCGGAGCGACGAGCGCCCCAATGCGGACCAAGAGGGCCCCGAGCGGCCTCTGACCTACAACCCAGGAGCGATGGCGGGTTGCGTCGAAAGTCACTAGATTGACGGTTCCACATCGATGACAATCTTGCAAATCTATACCCTCAGAAACGGGGGGGGGATCCTTGAGATCGGCACCGACATGAGGTGGTGCCACCCGCAAGAGGGGATTGTTTGACAGGCTGGTGGCTCACGCAACCACTTTATCCTGCTCACTCTGCGAGGGCTCAACAAGCAAGCAATAAACGCCCGCCAAAACCTCCCTCCAATACCTTGTTTCCCTTCCCCCTCTTGGAGGGAACAGCAAACAACAACGAACGCCCGCCTCACCCTCCTCCTCCTCCTCCTCCTCCTTCAAATCCTCCGCCCTCTCGAGGGGGCTGAGCAAAGAGCAAACGTAACGGACAACCGCCTGATCTTCCCTCCTTTATCCTCCTCGTCGTTCTTATCTCCGCCGTCTGGGCGGGAGCAGAGGACACATACACGAACGGCTGCCTCACCCTCCCTCGTCATCCTGCTTACCCTCCCCCGTCTGGGGGAAGGCAGCGGGCAATCTACGCACGGCAACCTCCTCGCCGACGCTCGGAACCCACACGGGCACGTTCGGCACAGGAGGCTTCTCCGTCCTCGGCGGGGGGCGGTGTTGATTTTTGGACTTTGTTCCCAACCATCATGTGGTGTTGGGTCGTCACTTTGAAGAGACAGTGCCCCGCGACACTCGCTCCTCCTCCATATTCCTCTCCCTCCTCCCTCCTCCCATCCGTGCCCCTGCCCTCCGCATATCCAGTATGCCACACTCCGCACACGTCTCGTGACCCCATCGGGAGCTCCACAGGAGGCCCCCGCCGGCGATTTCTCGCATGCACCCCCCGCTCCCATGTCGGTATACCCACCAAGCGTGTCGTGGCTACATCAAGGATTCCGCCGACGGCCCCCACCGCATGGGTCCCCCGCGTCCATGTCACCACACCTCTCACACGGTTCGTGGCCCCATAGGGGCCTCCGCCTAAGGCCCCACTGAAGGTTCTCGCATGCGCTCCCTGCGCCCATGTCGGCTCCACCGAGAGACCCAGCGAAGATAATCGTTTCGTCTCCCGCGCCACGTTTAGCCCACCCTTCAAACTTCGTGGCCACATAGGGAACTCAACCGAGGGCCGCTGTGGCGGTTTTCGCATGCGTCCCCGCACACCTCACGGCACAGCCCCCGCACGCTCCATGGCCCCATAGGGGCCCCCGCCTAGGGCCTCAATGAAGATTCTCGCATGCGTCCCCCGTGCCCATTTCGGCTCCACCGAAAGACCCTTCGAAGGTTATCGCATTCGTTTGTACCCATCACGGCGCACGCCATGCAGGCTTCGTGGCCACATAGGGAGCTCTTCCGAGGGCCGCAGCGAAGGTTTTCGCATGCGCCCCCCGCGACGATTTTAGCCCACCCGACGCGCTTCGTGGCCACATAGGGAGCTCCACCGAAGGCCCGAGCGGCGGTTCTCTCATGCGCCCCCCGCACCCCCGCACGACACACCCATCACACGCTTCGTGGCCACACAAGGAGATCCACCGAAGGCCCCACGGCGGCTCTCGCATGCGTCCCCGCACCCGTTACGACGTAACCATCACGCGCTTCGTGGCGCCATAAGGACTTCCACCGGAAGCCCAAGTGGCGGTTCTCGCATGCACCCCCCGCATCCCTTACACGCTCCACACCCCTCATGCGCTTCGTGGCCCCATAGGGAGTTCCACCGAAGACGATGATCACAACTGCATTACTTACAACTGCGCATGGATGGCTCATTCGCCCGCCATACGTTACTGCGCGGCTGGGTGCGGGCCCTCCCCCCTGCTGCTTGGGCGAGGGAGGGCAACAATTCGCCTGGCGAAGGACCCAACCATATGACTTGGGAGTGCCCCAGTTGCGAGTATCGTCTTCGGTGGAGCTCCCTATGGGCCGCGAAACGCTGTACTGGGTGAGGGAGACGCATGCGAACTTTGCCAATGAAAGCTTCGGTGGAGCTCCCTATGGGGCCACGCGACGCTGTGATGCGTGGGGGACGCATGTGGGCACCGCCGCCACTGGGGCTTTAGGTGGAACTTCCTATTGGGCGACGAAGCGTTGTGCTGGGCGTCGGGGGGGGTAAGGTTAATAAAACCGTGTGTGTGTGTGTACCACCTCGGTTTTTGGTCTATTACTTCTCATTTGCTTGCTTTCCTGTTGATTATGCTTTTCGTTACCTTTAAAGGGATTGCTCAAAGTAGTGAAATGCAGAACGATTCCTGTTGTAGCAGATTTTAAATTGAGTTCTTTTGTGGGGGATTAAAAAGGAATTCTGTTCATGGTGAATTGCAAATTGTTTCCTTTTGTGGCGGATTACAAAAGGATTCCTTTTGTGGAGGATTACAAAAGGATTCCTTTTGTGGAGGATTACAAAGGGATTCCCCTTGGTGGAGGAATACAATGGGATTCCTTTTGTGGAGGATTACAAATTGATTTCCTTTGAGGGCTCTCCTGGAAGTGAACCAGGGGACAAAAGCAAAAAAAAAAAAAAAAATCAGAAAATCATTGAAAATTCTGAACATTGCAGGTTTTCAATGATTTTCCAATGTTTTGAAGCAAAAGCATATAAAAAACAACGCATTTTCACAATCCGAATACAAAAATGCTATGTTTTCATATGGTTTGGGCTTCAAAACCTTGGACATTTTTTTTTTTTTGTTTTTTTATAAAGTTTTTGCTTCAAAACATTGGAAATTCATTGAAAACATATAATTTTCACAATTTTGAATGAATTCAATGATTTTGTCCCCTGGTTCACTTCCAGGAGAGCCCTCAAAGGAAATCAATGTGTAATCCTCCACAAAAGGAATCCCATTGTATTCCTCCATCAAGGGGAATCCCTTTGTAATCCTCCACAAAAGGAATCCTTTTGTAATCCTCCACAAAAGGAATCCTTTTGTAATCCGCCACAAAAAAGAATCATCATGTGATCCTCCACAAAAGAAATCCTCTTGTAATTCTCCAAAAAAGGAATCCTTTTGTAATCTGCCACAAAATAAAACAATGTGTAGTTCACCACCAAAGGATTCCCTTTTGTAATTCAACAACAAAAGAAATCAATTTGTAATCCGCTAATATTGTTTGTTTCGGGCCTCCGGAGGCCGGAGAATCGAGATATTAAGGCTTATTAATCTCTCTGGAACGCGCTTCGGCGCTCACCCACTGGAAGTAAGAGGGGTGAGGAGGAAGAGACGGCGGTGGAGGTGGAGGAGGAGGGGGAGGAGGAAAAAGGGTAACGAGAGGATAACTTTAGTCTGGTGGGCTGTGCTTCCCACTCGATTATGCTCTGTGGAACTCATTATGACAACGCACTGCTCCCAACGCATCTCGTCATCACCATCATCATCAGCAACATCTTGAAACGCATGCTCGTCATCACCATCGTCATCAGCAGAATCTTGAAACACATACTCAGCATCATGATCGTCATCAGCAGCATCTTGAAACACATGCTCGTCGTTACCATCGTCATGGGCAGCATCTTGAGACACATACTCGTCATCATCATCATCATCATCGTCATCAGCAGCATCTTGAAACACATGCTGGTCAGCACCATCGTCATCAGCAGCATCTTGAAACACATGCTCGTCAACACCATCGTCATCAGCAGCATATTGAAACACATGCTCGTCATCACCATCGTCATCAGCAGCGCATTGAAACACATGCTCGTCATCACCATCATCATCAGCAGCAGATTGAAACACATGCTCGTCATCAGCATCATCGGCAGCAGCATCTTGAAACACATGCTCGTCATCATCATCACATGCTCGTCATCATCATCATCGTCATCACAAATGACACCCACCTCTCATATAATCGTACTACAGATGGATCCACTTCCGAGATAATCATATTACATATGGATCCACCTTCCATAGAATCCGATTAGGAATGGATCCACCCCTGATAAGATCCCACTACAGATGGAACCACCTTACATATAATCTTATGACATATGGATCCGCCTCTAATAGAATCCCATTAGAGATGGGTCCACAACTAATGGCATCACATCAGAGATGGATCCACCTCGAATGGAATCCTGGTACGGATGGACCCACCTCTAATATAATCCTTTTACAAATGAACCCACGTCTGATATAACCCCATTACATATGCGTCCACCTCGAATATAATTCTATTAACGATGGATCCACCTTTGATAAAACCAAATTAGACATGGATACACCTCTAATGGACTCCAATTACATATGGATCCACCTCTAATAGAATCCTAATAAGATGGTTCCATCCCCAATGGCATGCTATTAGAGATTGGTCCACCTCTAACAGAATCCTGTGACAAATGGATCCACCTCGAATGGGATCCTATTAAGGATGGACCCACCTCTAGTAATATCTGATTAGAGATGGATCGAATGGAATCCTAGTGCGGATGGATCCATCTCTAACAGAACCCTATGACAGATGGACCCACCTCTAATATAATCCTATTACATATGGGTCCACCTCTGAGAGAATCCTATTAGGGATGGGTCCACCTACCTCTGATGGGGTCCTACATGACATGAATCCACCTCTAATAGAATACTATTACATATGGATCTACCTCTAATAGGATCGTAATACAAACGGGTCCACCCCCAATTCAATCCTACCAGAATCCTGATACAGATGGGTCCACCTCTGATGGAATCCTATTACATATGGGTCCACATCTACTAGAATCCTGGTACATATGGATCCATCTCTAATGGAATCCGACTACAGCTGGATCCACAATTAATGGGATCCTACGACAGATGGGCCCATCTGAACTGACAGTCTATTACAGATCGATCCGCTCCAAATGGAATCCTAACAGGGATGGGTCCACCTTTTAATAGAATCCTGCTACACATGGATTCACCTCGAACAGAATCCTATTACATATGGATCCACCTCTACTGGAATAGTATTAGAGATGGGTCCACCTATAATGGGATCCGGTTAGACATGGATTCACCTGTAATTGAATCCTATATGAGATGGATCCACCTCTAGTGGGGTCCTATTAGCGATGGATCCACCTCTAAGACCATCCCATTCCAGATATTTCCACCTCTAATAGAATCCGATGAGAGATGGATCCACCTCTCATAGAATCCTAGTAGCGATCGACCCACCATTTACACCCCCTCCCTACATAAGGTTTTCTTTTGTGGCGGATTACGAATTGATTCCTTCTGTGGCAAAATATATAGTGATTCCTCTTGTGTCGGATTACAAATCGATCCCTTTTGTGGCGAATCACAAATCAATTGTGTGTTGTGGCGGGTTTCAAATTGATTCCTTTTGTGGCGGATTTGAAATGGATTTCTTTTGTGGCGGATTACAAATTGATTACAAGGATGATGATGTTGCTGGTGATGGCGACGCAACGCAGCAAAACGAGGCGGTACGCACACACGGTTTTATCAACTCCACGGGGGGAGGGGGGGGGGGGCGCATGCTGACGCCGCCGCTGGGGCCTTATGTGGAGCTCCGCGCGGGGCCACAGACGCTGCGCTGGCTGGGGGAGACGCACGTGGACGCCGCCACTGGGGCCTTAGGTGGAGCTCCCTATGGGGCCACGAAGCGCTGTGCTGGGCGGGGTGGGCGCACGTGGACACCGCCGCTAGGGTCTTATGTGGAACCCCCTTACGAGGCCACGAATCGCTGTGCTGGGTGGGGGAGACGCATGTGGACACCGCTCATGGGGCCTTAGGTGGAGCTCTCTATGGGGCCGCGAGACAGCGCGCTGCCTTTTTCTTTCGGGGGGGGGGGGGGGGGCGCATGAGGGCGCCGCCGCTGGGCCGTAGGTGGAGCTCCCCATGGAGCCACGAAGCGCTGCGCTGGCCCGGGGGGGGGGGGGGGGGCGGCGCATGTGGACACCGCCGCGCTGTGCTCCAGGCTCGCGTGGCGCGAGCTCTGTCCCGAGGTGGCTCCAGGGTGTGCGCCGTCACCAGGGGCGCCCGAACGGGGCGCCCACCTGGCCAAACCAACGAAGGCACTCCCCTTGACCCCGCCGCTACCGCCGAGGCCGAGGCTGACGAATGCTCGGCTTGCTCCTCTGAGGTCTGCGGCATCACCTGGGGCTCCACCACGGGGCACCCTCCAGGCTGTGCCACCATCCAAAGAGGGCAGACCACCGAAGCCACTCCCTCGGGAGCCAAAGGCGGAGGGAGCCACCAGGCGCTACGCGCGCCACCCGCGAACGCGGGCTAAAAAGGCGCTGGTAGGCCTCCCGCCCACGGACACCAGCATCTGCCGAAGCTGCTCGCTGAGCCAAAGCTCGTAGTCAGTCGCCTGGCGAAGGAGGCCGCCGGCAATTGCGAAGACCCCCTTATGGGCCGACCTCCGAGGCCGCAATTCCGCCAGCTGCAGGCGCCGCCACCGCGAGCGCCGCGCCCAGCTCCGACGCCGCCTTCGCCCGAGGACGCCAGGGCCCGCGCCGCCGCCGCGCGGCTCCGTCGGCCTGGCCGTCGCTCCCGAGGCCGCACCCCGCAGCACCAGCAGCTCTTCCAGCTCCGCGAGCTGGATCCGCCGCCTCCGCCGCCGCCGCCCCGCCAGGGGCGCCCACGAAGGCCAGCGTCGCGTCTGCAGGCGCGGCCGTCGCAGCGGCCGAGCCAGAGCCCGAACCGCCCGCGCCAGCAGCAGCCACCACCGCGACGCTCATGCCCTCGCATCTCCTCCTAGGTCGACGCGTCCCGCGGACGAGCAGGCTGTCGGCCCAGGAATCGTCGATGATCCCGTCGATATCGTCGAAGCCGTTGACCACGGGAGCGACGCCGCCAGAGCCGCCCTCAGGAGGGGCAGGCACGCCGGCGCGACCGGCTCCAGGAACAGCATCACGATCAGCACGGCGCCCTTCAGCGAGGCAAGCACGGCGCCGCCGCCGCCGCTCCCGCTTCGCATCCGATGCGCCATCTTTACGGCCAGCCGCCCCAGCACTGGCGGCCGCAAGCGGCAGCGGGGGTGCCGCGGCCCGAAGGGCCACAGCAACCGCGCCCCGCGCCACCGCAGCCACCGTTCGCCGTGGCGCCTTGCCCTCGACGGCCGCGCGCACCAGGGCCGCCCCGTCCACCCCAGCAGTCGCGCTGCTAGCCGCGCGCAGGCCAGCCAGCCCGCGGAGGACGACCGAGGCGGAGGCGCGGCGGGCGATCGTTGGAGCCAAAATGCGACCACGGCAGCCAAAATGGCCATGGAATGCCACTGGGACCTGAGGTGGAGCTCCCTATGAGGCAACGAGTCGCTGTGCTGGCTGGGGGGAGACGCATGTAGACACCGCCAATGGGGCCTTAAGTGGAGCTCCCGATGAAGCCACGAAGCGTTGTGCTGGGGGGGGGCGCATGTGGACACCGCCGCTGGCGCCGTAGGTGGAGCCCCCTATGAGGCCACGAAGCGCTGTGCTGGATGGGGAGGGGGCGCATGTGGACAACACCACGGGGGCCTCTGAAACGCTGCGCTGGGTGGGGGGGGCGCATGTGGGCACCACATCTGGGAGCTCCCTATGGTGCCACGTAGCGCTGTGCTGCCTGGGGGGGGCGCATGTGGGCACCGTCCCTGGGGCCTTCGGTGGAGCTCCCTGTTGAGACACGAAGCGCTGTGCTGGGTGGGGGGGGGCATGTGGACACCGCCACTGGGGCCTTCGGTTGAGCTTCCGATGGGGCCACGAAACGCTGTGTCGGGCGCATGTGGACACCGCCACCGGGGCCTTACGAGGAGCTTCCTATGGGGCCACGGAGTGCTGTGCTGCTTGGGGGGGACGCATGTGCACACCGCCACTGGGGCCTTCGGTGGAGCGTCCCATGGGGCCACGAAGCGCTGTGCTGGGTGGGGCGGGGGGGAACGCATGTGGACACCGCCACGGGTGGTTGGGAACAGAAGCGTGGAGAGCGATGCAGGACGGTGGGGCAGGATGACGGTGGGGAACAGGAGGGCGCGGGGGAGGCGGGCGGGGAGGATGCGGGATGATGCGGGAGGAGGGGGCGAAGGCGCGGAACGGGAAGGGGAGCGGGAGGGGAGAGGGGAAGGATGCTGCCTGAGGGATCTTTGAGAAGTCCTTTTATCGTCCTCCCCTCTCCTCCTCCTCCTCCTCCTCCTCCTCCTCCTCCTCACCCTGCTCCTCCTCCTCCTCCTCCTCCTCCTCACCCTGCTCCTCCTTGTCCTCCTCCTGTGTATGGTCTTGCGCGGCCGCAGACAGCAGCAGTTGCTTGGGGTGGGAGAAGGGCAGGCCTGCGGCAAGCCGGAAAGGGAAATTAGGACACACAAATAAATACACACAAATAAAAATAGTCCCCATATTTCCCCATATTCTCTGGGTTTTTGTCTTCCCCCCCAATTCCCATATTCTCCCATATTTTCCTGGGAATCGAGGATTAATTGTGTCTGTGTGGTTTTTTCCCTCCTAAGAAAGGTGGGACACTGCGGCGGGGAAGGACGAGACCATCACAATCAACGCGGAGCTGCGATATGCCAACGGGGCTGATGAGATCCCAGCACAGCGGGATAGATGCCAGCGGTCCAGATCACCAGGGCGAGTGAGACCCCAACAAGCGCGAGCAGCTTTGTTTGCGAGACCATGCCCATAACTATAGTCACGTACATCCATGCATGGATGCATACGCATCTGCATACATACATACATGCATGCATGCATACATACACACCTACAACTTTACTTACATACATGCATGACGCGTACATGCATATCAGTATGCAGACATGGCTACACCTACATGCACACACACCCATACATACATACAACCATACATACGTACGCATACAAACCTACGTATACACATACAGACGTGTATACGTACATGCAAACAGGCACGCACACCTACATGCATATATGCATACATACATATATAAATGCATGCATGCATGCAGACATACATACATCCACATGCACATCAGTGTCTGTGTAGGCAAACATATGCACATATACACACTTCCCTACCTACCGATATGCATACATCCATCCATACATACATTCATGTGCACACGTACACACATATATACATACATGTATGCAGACATGCACCCATCCATATATGCATACATACATACAGATACACATGCATACATGCATGCATGCATATCTGCACTCATGCATATACATACATGCATGCATACATGTACATGCATACACACATACATACATCTATACACATGCCTACAAACATACATATACACATACACACCTGTATACCGACACGCATGTATGCGCGCATACCTACACACAAAGGTACACATGCACCTACATACACATACATGCATCTATACATACATACATACCGACTGGCCTTTCTACCGACCTACCTGCCTACCGACCTACTGACCTAAACATATACACACATGCAACCATACACGCATACGTACGCGCGTACAATGTTAAAAACTTAGTTACGTACATGCAGACATACACGCATGCCTATACATACATACATACATACATACATACATACATACATACATACATACATACATGCATGCATGCATGCATGCATGCATGCATGCATGCATGCTGCATGCATACAAACTTACGTGCCGATCTACAGCCACACGCACGTATACACGTACATATACATATACATACCTACACATGTGTATATGCATGCTTGTCTCTATGTACAAACGTATGACTACATACCAGCACCGTTATACGAGCTATGCCTCTTTAGAACCTCACCAGCTTCCAGGAGCCTTCAAGGCGCCTGCGCGGCGCCTCCAAGACGCCTAGAAGGAGCATATGAGGAACTAGGGTGCCTGTACTGTGAAGAGTCTCAAGTGGTGTTAAGAACTCGAGTAAGCCTCATTTGGGTCTCCCCCGTCCAAATGTCCTCATTCGTTGGGGTCTCACCCCTTATGTTGGGATCTAACCCCCAGCAGCTGCCGTGCGCTCGAGCGGCGTTCCTCCCCCCTCCACTATCCCCCCCCTCCTCCGTCTCCCCGTCCTCTCCCCCCGCCCCCCCCCCTGTCCTGCCTCAATCCTCCGGGCTTCCCTCTTCCACAACTTCCCCCCACGCCGTCCGCCACTCCCCTCATCTCCCCTTCCCGCATCCCTCATCCCCTTCTCTCCCCTTGCATATTCTCTGCCATTGATCAATTCCCTACTACACTCCTCTGTCCCACCTTCCACCCCCTCCCCCTCCCCTCCTCCCGCCCACCCTCCCTCCCTCCCGCCCTCTTTCTCTCCCTTCCCCCCCCCCGCCCCTCTTGCCCCCCTCCACTTCTCCCTCCCTCCCTCCCTTCTCCCGTAGACAATTGCACAATGCGTGCTACTCTCCTCTCTCCCCAGATGACGTCCGGAAGGAATCCGCCCCTCGCCTCCGCGTATGGTTTTTCACACACAGGATTCCCGGGAACTGGGTTTTCGCTTGGTTTCTGTTTTACAAAATGTTGCTCCCGCTGAAGCGCTGGCCTCATCTTCGGGCTTCCGCTCGTTCCGAATCGTGTTCCCGCTGCAGCGCTGGCGTCATCATTTCCAGTGCCATGCCCCGGCACGGTTTTCGGTTCTTCCAAATCGGCGCCAAAATATAGAAAATGCTCACCCCCAATTTGGGGGGTCGCCACGCCATGTTATGTCATGCTACGCGTTGATCTTTAACACCAGGATATGCCATGTAATGCTATGCCATGCTAGGACATCTGGCTCTGAGAATAGAAAGGAGATTTACGCCATGATAAGGGATGGGAGGGAGGCGTACGACGTCAGATATGACGCGAGCGCACTTGGCTTGCCCCCTCCCCCTCGATGCCTTGCTCTCCAATCGCACCCCATCAAATTCAATCTCAACTTCAGATCTCCCCGACCTTCGATTCTCCCCCTTCCCCCCTCTGAAGGGCAGCGCTATTCTGGGGGGGACTGGCTCAGGTGGAGGGCGGGGGGGCATCGACCTCGAGTCTGCAATACGTCGCCGACAGATCGGCGATGGGCCTCCAAATGGCACACCCGAACGCTCCTCGGAGGGGTGGGCGACCGGGCCCCCATGTTGGGCGCCCGAGTTATCCGGGGTAACTCGGGTCCGGGGTAAGTCGGGTTTGGATTCCCGAAAAAGGAACCCGAGTTATCCCTGACCCGAGTTACCCCTGATGATTCGGGGCTCTGGACGCCCGAGTTACCCGGGGTAACTCGGGTCCGGGGTAACTCGGGTTTGGATTCCCGAAAAACGAACCCGAGTTATCCCTGACCCGAGTTACCCCTGATGATTCGGGGCTCTGACGAGCGCTCCTCGGAGGGGTGGGCGACCGGGCCCCCATGGGCGATCCATGGGCGATCGCGGGCCGATGCGCCCCCCCCCCCTCCCCTCGAGCCAGCGGTCAGTATTGAAGGGGCCCAAGGACACACAAATAAATACACACAAATAAAATTATTCCCCATAGTTTCCCATATTTTCTGGGTTTTTGTCTTCCCCCCCACTTCCCCTATTTTCCCATATTTTCCTGGGAATCGACGATTAATTGTGTCTGTGTGTTTCTTTCCCTCCTGAAGTATACCTCCTGCTCAGCGTGCCGCGGCGGCGGCCCCCGCGGCGCGCGGCGCTCTGCGCACGGATGGCGCCTCGCTCCGCTCCGCGGGGCGGGAGGCCACGAAGATTGGGCGTGGCTTCACGGGGGGGTCATCCATGGGGGGGTCCGAAACGGTCCCCTTTCGTGCCCCTTTCGGGCCCCTCCGGAGCCCCAGGGGGCTCGTTTAGGTACCGTTGGGGTACCTTTTCGGACCACTCTCGCCACCCCCCCATGTATGACCCCCCCATTACGCAACGCCCAAGAAGAGCTCGGGACGTAGACGCCGGGGGAGCGCGAAGTGGATACGGCGTCGCGTGGCAGCGCGGCGGGCAAGAACCGGCGGAGCGACACGCTATCCAAACGTTTCCAGCCGTATCGGGCCCCCCATCGGCGATCAAATGCGCCCCCCTCTGGGCCGTCTGCTGCAGCTCACGGGGGCCTCCCATGCAATCTGGTTGGCTCTGGAGAGTCGACGCTGATCGACACTACTTCGACGCTGCATCGACGCTCCTCGCCGCTGAATCGGCGCTGTCCCATCGACGACCCAACGCTGATCGATGCCGACACACTCCGAAAACAGACTTGCGAGGGTGCACAAAACTCCCACGAACCATGACTGGACAAACCTATCCCTCGGTATCCGTGAGCATCGTTTATCCGACCCCTATCCCCAATGGCGTGGCCTGGGCCCCAAGCCGAATTACACTCTAAATGAGGATATGGGCTGGTCAATTCGGGTTCCGAAGGGTATCTCCCCATGGGGTGCTGAGATGGCGCGGGTCTGGAAAAGGATGCGTACAGGGACCCATACACGACATGCGATGTCCTGACTTGTTTGATACGGGATCCGGGGAAGTCCCGACCCCTTCCCTGGGGTTGTTTCTTCTTCGCGAGTCGTTTTATGAAGGTCCTGGGGCCCGAGAAAATCCTCCAATCAGGAGTTTCCACGATGCGTGCATGTCTGGGGATACGGGTCGGATAAACGATCCTGAATATCCGTTGGGTCCCCGCTGGCTCATGGCCGGTTCCCGAAACCGTGAACCTAAAAACGTTTCCATCCCTGCGGGGCACATGTTTTACTTCCGCCGGCTTCCGCCTTCGGAGCCACCCTCGGCTTGCTTCAGCCGTCTTCCGCCGCCGTTCCGCCGCCTTCCGCCGAGGAAGCGCCGGCAACTCCTTCTTGAGCAGGGACCGGCCGTCCTGGCATTCCTATAGTCCTATCACGAAATGTTCTTCGAACCCATAAAAGTTCCAAGATCAAAGACAATGTTCTGAGAACAGAAACCCGATGCCACAAAACAAGACAGACTCTGCCAGGAATGTTCTAGAAGGATCTCAGAACATTGCTTGGTAGGGCTGTAGGCGAGCCAGGACGCTTCGCCACTGCTTGACCTTCGGCCCTCGAGTCCGAGGCAGGGGCGGCGGGCCCGGCACCCGCGCCCTATAGGCGAGCCAGGACGCCTCGCCACTGCTTGACCTTCGACCCTCGAATCCGAGGCTAAGGAGGGGTAGGATTACGGAGGAGGGGGATTCAGGAGGAGGGGGAGGAGGCGGGAGGAGGAGGAGGAAAAAGGGGACAAAAAGGGGGAGAATGATTAAGGAGGAGGAATCCTCCCTCCTCCTTAATCCTCCTCCTCCTTAATCCTTCCCCTCCTGAGAAGCAGGGGCGGCGGGCTCAGCGCCCGCGTCCTCGGCGCGCTCGGCGCCCGGACCGCCGGCGTGCGCGGCACCTTCGCGGCGTCCGCGCGGCGCTCCCGCCGCCCGCCTCCTGCTCCTGCTACTGCTGCTGCTGCTCCTGCTGCTGCTGCTGCTGCTGCTGCCCCTCCTCCTCGTGGTTGCGTCTCTCCCTCCCCCTTCTCTCTCGATCTCGTCTTCCTCCTCCTCAACCTCCTCCTCCTCCTCCTCCTCTCCTCCTTTCTCCTCCTCGCCGCCCTCCTCCTCCTCCTCCTCCTCCTCCTTCGTTCTCCTCCTCCTCCTCCTCCTCCCTCTCCTCGTCCTCCTCCTCCTCCCGCTCCCCCACCCCCGTATACCACCCTTCTCTTCCTCTTACACTCCCCCTCATCCTCACGCCTCCTCCCCATGCCTCCTCCTCCCTCCCTGCACCCTCCTACTCCTCCTCTTCCTCCCTCAACCTCCTGATCCCTGCTCCTCTCCTCCTCTCTCCTTCCCGTTTGCAAGCGACTCACATGCCTCATAATCTACGGGGCGAGAGACCTTCACACCCCGTCTTTCCGAAACCCTTCTGAGCCGTCACGGCCTGACCTAGTCTCTCCCTTCCATCCTCCCCTGCCGATCGACCAGGCATTGGAGGGGAAACCGACCGTGGCGACGAGGGCCCTTCAGGAGGCCCAGAAAGGACAAACATATTCAAGGCCCGTCTTGTACTCCTCGCCTTTTCACATTCTTCCCCCCAGCATTCCCAGCCTCTTCCTGCCCTTCTCATCCTCATTCCTTCTCTCTCCTCCCTCTGCTCCATCCTTCTCCTCGTTCTCACCCTTCCTCCCCCTTCCCCCCCCCCGCCCCTCTCCCCCTCCTCCTCCTCCTCCTCCTTCTCCTCCTCCTCTGAGCTTTGAGCAGTGCCTTCCTGCTCCTCCGAGCTGTGAGCTAAGGGAAAGAGGCTGTGAGCTAAGGGAGAGAGCACTCCCTCCTCCTCCGGCCTCCCTCGCACCATCACACCCTCCGTCTCGCCCTTTTCGCCCCCCCCCCCCCCCGCAACAGGCTTTGCGTGCGCCGAGCGGGCGGCCTGAAAGGCGCGCGCGCAGGGAATGGCACGAAGACTCGAGGATCGAGGCTCGAGCCGCAGCCCTTATGGAGGATCGAGGGTCGAGAATCGAGCTCTGGGATCGACGCACGAGGATCGAGGCTCGAGTGTCGAGACACTTTGGGGCGCCCTGGGCGCCCCGAGGCACCATGCTCGCCCCAAGGCGGCCACAAACAAAAGTACCGCCGGGGATGTGACGAGCTGGTCCCATGGGGAGCGCCCCAAGGCCCCCGGGGGCCTGCTTCTGTGAGGGCCCCTCTCCCCCGCTTGGCGAACCGTCCCTGGCGGCGCACACAGGAGCCCCCCTCCTCCTCCTCCTCCTCCTCCTCCTCCTCCTCCTCCTCCTCCTCCTCCTCCTCCTCCTCCTCCGTCTCTCCTCTCACGTTCTCTCCGTCCCTTTCTCTCCGTCCCATGCAGACATGAGCTGCATAGGGGCTCCAGTTCCCCTCTGTGCCGATGCGCCGTTTAGGCGCCAGGCTTCTTGCTTGCCTCCTCCTCGTCCTCGCCCTCCCTCCTCCTCCTGCTCCCCTCCCTCCGCTCCCACTGCTCCTGGGGGAAGCGGCCGGAGAGCCCAGACCGCGAGGTATGAGGATGCCCAGCTCCACACACTCTGACCCCGAAGATGCTGGCGTCTCACTCTGACTCGGCGAAGCGCACAGGGGGGCAGGGGGAGGGAAGAAGGCTGCGTCTCAGAAGGAGGCTACATCTTAGAAGGCTCGGGCCTTGCATCTATAGATACGGCCCGCGCCTTCTAAGAGCCTTCCCCCCTGCCCCACCCCCCCTGTGCGTGTCCGAGGCGCGGAGGAGGGTCAGGTGGGAGAAAGATGGTAACGATAATGATGATGATTCGATGACAAGATCGGACAAGGTCGAACGAGAAATCGGATCGGTCTCGCGCGTGGATCAAATCGGGCCGCATCTGCAAAGGAAACCGAGAGGCACCGACACCGCTACTCTCCGGACCTCTCCCAAGGTGCGTTCTGACCAGAAGGATGAGCGAATTCAGCCGTGGCGACGAGGGCCTCCCAGGAGGCCCACACATAAGAAAACGAGCGAAGGCTGGCGGTACGGATACCTTTTCCTGCTGATCGGCAGAGAATCGGAATCGACTCGAATCGGCCGCACCAAAATGCAAGCGGCCTCGCTCCGCATCAGATCGTGGCATCGCATACCATAAACGAATCGCATCAGAATGGTCACCACCGACACCGGACCGGATCGGATCGATACGATCGAACTGGGCCCTGGAAGGAGGGGGAGTGCGGGGGAGAGCGGCAGGTGGAGGACGACGATGACGACGACGAAAGCCCCATGGCGATCGCGGCGCGGGGGGGGGGGGACGCCGTTGGGAGCCCGGGCATCTTCGGCAGGCTGGGCTTCGGCATGCTCGGCAAGCTGGGCTTCGGCAGGCTAAGCCTCGGCAGGAAGAAGGACGCCTCCTCCTCGTCATCCTCCTCATCCTCCTACTCCTCCTACTCCTCGTTTTCCTCCTCCTCCTCCTCCTCCTCCTCTTCCTCCTCCGCCTCCTCCTCCTTCCTCCCCCCCTCCCTCCCTCCGTCCCTCCCTCTCTCTTCGGCACTCCGTTCTGCCCTCCGTCCCTCCCTCCGACACTCCCTACGTCCTCTCCGTCCTCCCCTCTGCCCCTCCCCGCATTTGCTCCTCTTCCTTCCCACCCCCCTCTCCTCCCTCCTCGTTCCATTTCCTCCTCATCTTCCCCCTCCTCCTCCTCCTCCTCCTCCTCCTCCTCCTCCTCCTCCTCCTCCACCTCTCCTCCTACTCCTTCTCGTCCTCGTCTTCCTCGTCCTCCTCCTCGTCCTCCTCCTTCTCCTCGTCCTACGCCTCTTCCTCTGCTCCGTTGGGACGCGGCCAGAAAGTTCAAAACGCGAAGCCGTGGATAAGAGTACGCCCAACTCCAAAAACGATGATACCAAACATGTTGACGTCCCACTTCTGGGGGCGACGATGGGGGCGAATAGCCAAGGGGGGAACAATACATGTATCCAAAGGCGCCGATTGTCCGGGCCTTCGGAGAAGCTCCCTGGCGAGTACGTGGAATGCCCGTCCCTGGGCTATTCGCCCCTAATTACCGTTGCCTCCGACACTCTGACTTCCTTCCACCTTCCGACGGCTCCCGCCAGCTTCCGCTGAGGGCTAAGGCGCGCCAGGAGCGAGGCCCCTTCTGAAGCTCGAGGTGTCGTTGCGGTTGCAGGAGAAGAAGGGGGAACAAGGGGGAGAAAGAGAAGGGAGGGAGGGAGGCAGGCAGGGAAGAACGAAAGCAAACAGGCAGGAGAGGCAAGAAGGGAGGGGACAGAACATGGAGCCAGGGATGGAGCAGCGGATGAAAAGGGACTACTCCTTCCACTTGTCCGTCCTCATCATCCTCCTCCGCCACCTCTTCCTCTTGGTCATCATGCTCGTCCTCACCGTCGTAGTCCTCCTCCCCTCCTCGCCCCCCTCTTCCTCTTTCGACTGGCAGAGACAATCATGTTCCTGGCAAGCTTTCCGGGGACAGGGTTGTCTCCGCAAGTCGTCCCAAGTGTGCAGAACCCGAAAGGCGGCCAAATGTAACCATCCTAGAAACCTCAGGCAGGGGAGTGGGGAGGTGGAGTTTGGAAATGACATGGAGGAGGTCTGGGGTAACACCGAAAAAAGGTTGGAGCTGGAAGGCCACGAGGAGGAGGGTGATAAAGAGCGTGGGGGCTTGCGACAGATACCAGAATGGGTGTCGGCCCGTCCCGCCGCCGTCCTTGGATCGTGGGTCGAAATTCTGTAAGATTGTCAGTGGGATGTTGACGGAAGTCGCGCGGGGCCTTTTCAAAGGAACCGCTTCTAGGCCTGTCATTCACCAGTCTGGGCCGTCATGGGCGCCCCAGGGGATGCCTTGGAGCCCGCGTGGAACGGCATCCTCAATGTCAATGCCTTGGAGCCCGGATGTTGGGCCGGCAGGCGCATGGTAACGAAACTAAAGCGGCACGAATTGGAAAGGCGACGGCAAAAAATGCGGGACGGAATGGACGGGGGGTGCGCCCGCGAAACCGGGTTCGCACGGGCCCTCCTCCTCCTCCTCCTCCTCCTCCTCCTCCTCCTCATGTTCGGTATCCTCGCAGGACTCGCGGTGACAATCAGGTTCCCGGACAGCTCCCCAAGAACATGGTCGGTGGAGCCGTCTTGGAGTCCTTGTGGAGGCTGCCATGGTACCTAAAATAGGGCTGCAACGCCAGAGGGACAGCCATATTGACCCCCCCCGGGAATGTTGTCATGGTGGTGCGGCTTCGCAGCGAGAGAAGGGAGGAGTAAGGTATCGAAACACGCACGGTTGGAAGTTAACAAGCCAAGGCGAAGACTTTATCTTGGAGAAGACGTGGGGTACCAAGGAAACTGGAATGGCCTTCGATCCATTCCTTCACCGTGACTGTGGGGTGGGTCCAAAGCCACGAGAGTGTTCGGTGGGATCTCGAGGGAGGCCTCGCAGGAGCTCCTGGGGGCCGTTGTTTGGATTGCACTCGTGGCGATAATCATGTTCATGGAAAACTCTACAGGAACATGATGAGGTGGGCCGTGTTGGGGCCCTCGGTTCCAGGGTTACCAAGATGAAGCTGCATAGCCCGAAGGACGGCCTGGGGAGAAAAGCACTTGCACATGTGGAGATAGTGGTGCAGCTTGGCACGGATGTAGGGGAGGAGCGAGGTATCGAAACAAAAACGGCACGAACTGGAAAGATCACGGCAAAGAGTGCGGGACGGAACAAAAACAAAGGGTGTGCCCTCGAAACTGGGCCCACTTGCAACGGGGCGGCGGGCCCGACTTCGGTTCCGTTGGGAACGAATCCCCGGGAAACGCTACGCTGAATTGAAACGGCGCGTACCGTCATCCTTCTACGCGGAATTGAGACGGCGCGTACCGTCCTCCTCCTCTTCGGTCTCCTCGCGGGGCTGGCGGTGACAATCATGTTCCCGGACAGCTTTCCAGGAACATGATCGGTGGGGTCGTAATGGAGTCCTCGTGGAGGTTGCCATGGTACCTCAAATGAGGCTGCAAAGCACAAAGGAGACTGGAATGGCCTTCGACCCATCTCCAGGGTGCATGGGCAGTGGGTCAAGAGCCATGAGGATGTTAGGTGTTAGGTGGGATGTCGAGGGAAACCTCGTTGGGGCCTCGTGGGGGCCGTTGTTTGGCCTCTTGGGGGCCGTGTTGGAGCCTTCTGGGGCGATGTGAGGGCCTCTTGGGGTTCTCTTGGAGCCCCGTGGCAGCATCTGGGGGCCTTCCTGGGGCTTCCTGGAAACATCTTCGAGCGAAAAACTCTAAATGTAGGTTCATGCCCCCCCCCCCCCCCTCTTGAGCCCATCCTGGTTCCGTCTCTCGGGCCGCTCCCCCTCCTGACCCCACCTTGGGGCCGTCTTTAAAGCATATTGGGCCGTCTTGGGCGCCCTTGGGTCGGGGAGACGTAAGACCCGGGTACGGGGGACTCGGAAATCCCCGACGAGGTCGTCAAAAAAATGACGAGGCAGAGCCTGCATTTTGACGAGGCCTCCCGCTGCAGACATCCCACGAAACTCCTCCTCGTCAAAATCCGAGGCGCGGTCGTCAAAAAACAATGGCGAACCCGAGTCCCGGCAAACCCGGGTCTTACGCTCCCCCGATTGGGGCCGTTATGGAGCTCTGTCAGGCTGTCCCGAAGCCTTCCTGCGGGCAAGTTGGCCTGACCTGATGCGGCGTTGGAAGCCTCTTGGGCCGTCGTGGATGATCGAACACTTGAAAAGTGGAGGGCCACAAAACATTGAAAAACATTACGGAGATTAGGAATGCTAGCCTCTTGGGCCACCCGTCTGAGGCCCCAAGCGCCCAATGGAGCCTGCCCAGGGCCGTCCTGGCGCCTTCCTGGGGCCTCGTGGGTGTTCTTGGGACGAAAGATTCGAAATTTCGGCTCCTGCTCCCCCGCTGGAGCCCATCTAGGGGCCGTCTCTGGAGCCACTTGGGCCGTGATGGGCGCCCCTGGGGACGTGATGAAGCCCTGCTATGCCGTCACAGGGCCCTCCTGGGGGCATCTTGGCCCGTCCTGAGCAGGGTCGGAAGCCTCTTGGGCTGTCGTGGAATGCAAGAATATCGGGAAAAAACCGGACCCAAAAACAAAGGAAGAGAACAAGGGAAATCAATGACTTGTACCTCTCGGGATACCCGTCTGGGGCCCAGAGCACCCACTCTGAAGCTTTCCCAGATCCGTCCTGGCGCAGCCTGGAGGCCTTCGGAGGCCGTTCAGAAAGCATCTTCGGTGCTCTCGGTGTGTGATAGACCCGGTCTGGTAGACCGTCGTACCAATGCGTGGGCCATCTGTGCGCCACGATGCCATTTGGGAGCCACGAAGGCGCCCCTGGGGCCTCTGGAGCGACCAATGTACCCTTGGTCGCGGTCCCGGGCCCGCCCGCGGCCTACTCCGATAGGTGTATATTTATGGATCGGATGTGAGGGGGTGAGATCGAAGTGGAACGGAGAGCCCCCCTACCGGGAAATCGGTTTCGGTTTCGTGTTCGTGCGTGCCGTGCGTGCGGGCGAGGCGAAGCTGCGTGGACGGACGAGAAATAATTCTCCTGTAGCTGAGGCGCGGCCGGACCAAAAACTTCCCTTCCGGCAACCGGTGCCCCGCGGTGTCCCGCCGGTGTCCCGCTCGGGGGCCGGTGGCGCGCGGTGTCCCGCCGGTGTCCCGTCGGTGTCCCGATGATGATGATGATGCTGATGATGTAAATGATGTCGACGATGATGATGGTGATGGTGATGGTGGTGATGGTGATGGTGCCCCGATGATGGTGATGATGATGATGATGACGGTGTTGATGAAGATGATGGTGATGGTGGTGATGATGATGGTGCCCCGATGATGATGGTGTTGCAGATGATGATGTTGCTGATGATGCTGGTGCCCCGATGATGATGCTGATGATGGTGTTGCTGATCCGGATGATTGTGATGATGACCGTATGATTTGGTGATGATGATGAAGATGATGGTGTCCCGATGATGATGGTGATAGTGATGACACTGGCGATGATGGTGTCACGATGATGATGGAGATGATGAGGTTGATTATGAGGACGATGCTGAGGTGGTGTTGATGATTTCGATGATGGTGGCCCAATCGTGGTGATGATGATGCTGATGTTGACGATGGTGGTGATAGTGTCCCGATGGTGTTGGTGATGATGAAAAGGGTAATGATGATGGTGACGGTGATGATGGTGTTCCAATGATGGTGATGATGTTGTTGATGATGGTGTTGTGAATGATTATGATGATGGTGTCCTGATGATGATGATAATGTTGTTCATGATGATGATGATGATGATGACGTGATGATCGTGATGGTGGTGTTCCGATGATGACGATGGTGCCC